AAATGCTGTCGGGATCGACGAGCACGACCGGCTTACGGCAAGAAAGGCGCTCAAATCGAAGTATTGGCCGGCGCTATTTGACGCTAGATAGAACAAGGCGAGCGGCGAGACGGAGGGCGAGGCGAAGGCAAAGAAAACATGCAAAAAAAATTGTCCAGAAGTACAACAGATCAGTTTTCCATCCTTTTGTTTGTCTGCATAATTTATATATCATTTTCTTCACGTTCACCCTCAACTTGTTGTCGTTGAAGCACGGCGACCGTTGATGCCGTGTCGACGACAGGAGACGGCGTCGGAGTCCGATCAAACGAAAGACTCGTGCAGAATTGCACATTCACAAGTGCGCATTGCACCTTCCCATTGTGACTCCGGCACCACTGCCTTTTTGTGCTGCACCGGCCCAGCACTAGCGTGGCCGCAGGCCGGTGTCGGCCCGCAGCCTTGTTGTGGTTGGCTTGGCTTGCCCGGCACGGCTCCAGGGCAGGAAAGAGCTGGTTCAGGGCATTTAGTAGGGCTCCAAACTTGGTTTCCGACTTTTCCAGCAGCGTTCTGCGCTACTTTTGCAGTAAATATGGCGAAACACTGGTCCGCATGGCAGCCGACCAATCTGCCATCATAATTCAGGCGGGGAAAAGCAATGTGACATTATGATCATGGCCTGGAGAGAGCGCATCTGGAAAGCATCGCATCTTCCTTTCCTCTTTTCTACGCCAACGTCGTAGTTACACCCCTATGAGAAAAACAAACAACTTTATAAACTCGTAGTGCCTTTGTACGAGCATACTGGTGTTTAGGTAGGACTCCAAAAACACAAATTGACCAGAAGAATAGCACTTTGTGATTTCCGGTGCGTCAGTTCTTGGTTTCTTGAAAAGATAGTTCACTTGTCCGCCGTACTTCGTATATAACCTCATATTACAACAAAATCTTCCACGTACGGCCACAGATAATGGAAAATACGGGATCCCGTCCGCTCTCCCCTAGTCAAACCATTAATCGGCGGATTAGTAGTTGGGTCGGTGACGACCAGCGAATACCCGCTGCTGTACGTTTTTTTGTTTCGTTGTTTTATTGTATTTTTTTGGTCATTGTTTGTGTTCTTCATTGCGAGTAAAGAAGAAGTTAAGATATATATAAAAGAATATAAATTTCATAAGCAATAAATTCAAAAGGTAAGACCCAAAGTAGACCTAAAAACAAATCCGCTGCGCTAATTTTCCACAACGCCAAAGATGGGAATTCGGTGAAGACTAAGAAAACAAACACCAAAAACGTCGAGCAGGACAAAACCAGAGATTACAACGAAACACCAAGTAAGCATCATTCATATCCACGTCCCTGCTCCTCCTAATCGAAGCACACCTTGACCTCCTGGCTGGCCAGGCGCTGGTCCTTGTAAAAGACCTGGAAGTCGACGGAGGCGCCGGTGGGGGTCATGACAATCTCGTAGGAAAACTTCTTAAAGACCTTGCCGCTGGGCGAGGTGTAGTCGGGCAGGCTGTCGACAATGGAGGCAAAGTTGCAGCGGATGTCGCACAGCTTGATGACGTTCTCCTCGCGGCGGGTGGGGGCCTCGACGTCGCTGCAGAGGTAGAGCTCGCGGGTCCACTCGGTCTTGGGCTTGGTGAAGAGCAGGTAAAAGTCGTGGCGGATGGGGGCGAGGGTCTTGACGGAGCTGCCCTTGCGCAGGTACCACTCCATCTGGCGGCCGGCAAAGTAGACCTCTTCCTTGTCGTCCCAGTAGCGGTCCTCGATCTTGTGGTAGGAGGCGTTGTAGAGCTGGGAGAAGCAGAGGCCGACGGAGAAGCGCGAGACGGTGGAGGCGATCTGGATGGGCGGCTCGAGCAGCAGGCGGTTGTCCTCGCCGTCGGCCTTGAGGGCCTTGTAGAAGCCCTTGTAGACGGCGCCGCGGCAGATGGCGGTCCAGGGCTTGGTGCCGGTGGACTGCAGCACGTTGATCTTGGGGCCGTGGCGGTCCTTGAGGTGCTGGTAGAGGTAGGGCGACGCGCCGAGGCCGCCGACGAGGATGATGTCGGTGACGTCGAGGCTCTTTTTCTTCTTGACCTCGCGGATCTGCTCGTCGATGAGGGCGTCGATGCCCTCAAAGGAGTAGGCAAACAGGGCCTCGATGTGCTCGCCCGTCAGGTGGAAGCGGCCCATCTTGATGTGCGGCTCCTTGCTGGAGTCGGTCAGCTCGGCCTTGGAGTTGAAGGCCTCGGCGGGGATGCCGACGGTGTAGTGGCGGCGGGAGTTGGCCTGCGACTTGTACTGGGGCTTGATGGCCTGCTGCCACTCGCCCTTGACGAGCTCCTTGATGCCCGTCTTGGACAGGTTGGACCACTTGGGGCCGAGGCGCCGCTGCGACATCTTCTCAAAGGCCTCGTCGATGAAGATGCTGCCGTAGAGGCCGCCGGTGCCCTCGACGGCCTCTTCCATGACGACGGGCGACGCGCGCGTCACGTTGTAGCTGATGAGGTCGACCGTGCCGCCGCCCGCGTCGCAGATGATGAAGCAGTCGCCGGCCTTGCTCGGGTTCGGGTTGTTGTAGAGCGTCGCCAGCGCGGCGGCCTCGGGCTCCGTGACAAACGACAGCTCCGTCTTGCCGGCGGGCCGGTTGTCCAGGATGCCAGCCTGCGTCACGGCGTCCTCCATGCGCTGGCGCGCGTAGCCCTTCCAGATGGCCGGCACGGTGAGGACGACGTGGAACTTCATGCCGTCGACGGCGGCGTCGCCGCGGTCGCGGCAGATGGTGTCGATGACGTGCTCCCACAGCAGGCGCAGGTAGTCGGCGACGAGGTCGGTGGGGGTCTTGCCGGTGTCGCGCAGCATGCGCCGGCCGCGGCGTACGTACTCGGAGTTGCGCAGCTCGTTGTCGAGATCGTCCTCCTTGAGCAGCAGCAGCTTGAACCACTGGACGGGGTCGGCGTCTGGTGGGATCTCGTAGCCCCAGTAGATCTGGCCGTCGTCGTAGTAGAGCTCGGTGGGTGCTTTGCCCTTTTCGAGGCCCATGCCGGGCCAGCTGTGGATGAGGTTGATCTGCTCCTGCTCAAAGTCGTAGGGCGTGGCCCAGGCGACGCCCGAGTAGGTGGTGCCAAAGTCGATGCCGATGATCAGGACATTGGTCTGGTCGTCGGAGATGCCCTGCCAGTACTCGGTGGTGGACGACATCCTGACGGAATCTGCCATTTGGGATACTGGAGGAGAGGACGGAGAAAGTCTGACAGGGTAGTCGAGGAGGAAGAGAAGTGGGCAGGATGGAAAGTGGCAGTATTAAGGAAGTAAAGAAGAGTAGAATGGAAGAAACGAAATAAGTAAATAGAGATGTCCGGGTGGTAATGCAGAAATTAGAGCGTACGGCGTAGGAATTAGAAATCAGAATTCAAGTGCAAATATCAACGACCAAAGTCAAGCAATCCGCCGAGTGTTCGGTTATCGACTGATGAAGAAAAAGGAGGCTGGCAGTTGTTTTGTATGGTTGGCGGCATTCGGACAGCAGCAAACCGCAGCGGCAAACACCACACGCACACCGGCACGCCAACTGGACAGGCTATTTCTCCGTCCAGACAAGAACCATCTCCCAAGATGCACGCCAGTTACAACAATGTAAAAGTGGGAGGTCTGTAAGTGGGGAAGCGAGCTGTCGCCTTTCCCCTCCTGTCTTGGAGAGAGAGGCTCAACGGTTGCCTCACTTCAGTGTGTCTGGCCGCCAGAGTGCCTTGTTTCACCTGCCGCGCCTTATTTTCTCGACCCTGCTCTATTTGGCGCTGATCGGCTGTTGTGTGCGATAATTGGGGGCTCATGGCAGCGAGAATTCAATTTCAGTGGAGGCGCGGCCTCGGCCTGGGCCTTGATTTGGCTTGGTCCCTTTTGGCCCCGTTTGGACCCGTTCGGCCTTGCTAGGGTGTTTCCGTCGCCTAACTTTAGGCCACCTGTAGCGCGCAAAAAGGTACCCAGTAGTGTGCTATAGGGCTTCATCATTGCACTCTATTTTGAAATTATCTTACTGTTTGTCCACAGCCCAGCGCCGCCGTTCAAGCTCGCGTCGGGAAAGGTCCTACGTTCTTCAGAAGATGCTTCTACAAGCTCGCTAAGACTCGCTATCGTCTGCAAAAAGCAATAGATTCAGCACGACGAAAATGGACGCAAGACTCGAGAAACAACAAGGCAACCCTGGCAAAGGATTGCGAAAATGGAGAGGGAGTGGGGCATCACTTACACAGCCGACCAATCGCAGGCCGCCATTCTTCAGCCTCGTCCAATTGTCCACACAGCCACCATGCACTCTTGAGCTCTCGCGTCTCAGCCCCTCTCCCTACCCCACCCGAGGTGCCATGAGGTGCCTTGGACAAGGGACAGGAGGGACAAGACGAACGAGCGGACGGGACCAGACAAGAGGAGTAAAGTGTCCGGTCGGCGCATGGGACGTTTGTCAGGCCGTGGAGCCACGTCGAATAGACTCTTGGAATGGACGCCTCCAATCAACAGGGGTCCGGGACGAGGAGGGGCAGTGTTGGATGGAGTGTGCAAAGAGGACAGACCAGCAAGGAAAGAAACGATAACGAAAACCGCCGCTGGGGAGGCGTTGTGGCAGGGTCAAAGAGCCGAAGAGGCAGAATGGAGGGAAAGCCAGACATTGGGATAGGCACTGCGGGAGGCGTGAGGCTAGAACATATTGGACAGAGGACGGCCGAACACAAAAATCAAAAACAGCTCCAGCCAAGATTGGGCTGTCCAGCGAGCTCCGACGCTTGTTTGATTTTGCGTTTTATTTCGTCGGCCTTTTGCTTGTTTTCAACATCATTGTCGTCTTGAGTTGTTGTCTAGAACTGTTGTCTTGATCTGTCATCTTGAATCAAATTGCCCTCACATCGTCCACTTTTAGGTCTGCAGCTCCTAGCCCACAACTCGGCTATTGAGGTAGCAGACGTTCTGAGGCAGCTAGATCCTTTTCCTAGCCACTCATCCACTCCAGTTTGAGCCCTTCCTTGTGCCACTCCACCATGGAGGAGCCGAACAGCCAGCAGAACCAGAATCAGCAGAGCCAGCAGGCCCAGCAAAACGTCCAGCAAAACGCGCAGCAACAGAGTCAACAAAACCAGCAAAACCAACAAAGCCAGCAAAATCAATCTCGGAAGCGCATCACCAAGACGCCGCCCGACGCTGGAAGCAACAAACGGCCAAGCGGCAACTCTGGTGGAAACAGCAACAACGGCAACAACGACGACCAGCCACCCATCCCCGAGCGCACGTCGTCGTTCCCCGAAGGGCTGTCGGGCAGAAACACGGCCGACGGCAAAAAGAACAACGGCCGCACCCGCAAAGGACGCAGCGGATCGTCGCCCAGCGTCCACGTCAACGACGACTCGAGCGCGGCCCTGACGGCTGCCGAGATTCTCAGAATGGGCGGTGTCGAGCTTCCAGAGGGCGATGGGATGAGCGACAACCAGTCCAAGAACCAAAACAAAAATCAGAACAAGAACCAGAATACGAACCAAAACACGAACCAAAACCAGAATCCGAACCAGAACCAGAGTGGTGGCGGTGTCGACGACGGGGACGACAGCGAAGCCACCGAATTTGGCGAGGGAAGCGAAGCCTTTGGCGAGGGAGTGGCCACAGCTGGAGCAGCGACCGCTGCACCAATGCCAACGGCACCGACATCGACGGAACCGGCGCCAAACTCGTTTGCAGGGCGCAAGGGCAAGGGTAAAGACAAGGACAAAGACGGCAAGAAGAAGGGCGGCAACGGAAAAAAGAATAAGGACAAAGGCGTCAGCGGTGGACAAGAGGGCAAGCCATCGGGGACAGAGAGCAACAATGGAGGAAATGGAGGAAATGGGGGCAACGGGGGCAACGGAGGCACTGGGGGCGGCAGTGGCAAACAGGAGGGCAACAAGAACGACAACGGCAGCGACCAGAACCAGGGAGGCGCGTACGCATTAGGGGCGGCGCGGTTCATTGAAGAAGACATGTGCAGCGACGACGGCCTCGACCACGACCGCGACCACGACCAAGACGAGTACGACCAAGGAGACTTTCACGAGTTTGACAGCAACCACAGCCACGGACACGGCTACGGACACGGCTACGACCACAGCCACAGCCACAACCACAACAACCACCAAGGCGACGACGAGAGCAACGTCATCGACCTCAACACGTTCCCCACCAACACGCGCGGGCCCAACGACCGGCCGGCCAACAACGCGTCGATTGCTAACTCGTACTTTGCGTCCATCACGCACACGCTCGCGGGCATGGTGCCACTGCCGCGGGCGCCGCGCGAGGACTACATGCGCACCATGACGAGCGACCGGCGCAGCCTGCAGGAGACGGTGCAGTCGCTGATCAGCACGCTGCAGCACGAGCAGATGCGGCGGATGGCGGCGGAGGAGAACGCGGCGGTGCTGCAGGAGAACCTCAGCGTGTACAAGGACCTGGCGGCGCAGTTCCGCGACGAGGCCAGCAAGCTGCGCGAGGAGACGGAGCGGTCCAAGAAGGGCCACATGCAGGTGCTGCGCGACCTCAACCGCTTCAAGGCGGGGCAGGGCTTCAGCCAGATGGCCGACGACTTTCTGACGCAAAAGGCGCGCGAGCTGCGCCAGGACATTCGCGACTTTGCCATCCAGTACTTTGACGGCGAGTTTGAGGACGCCGCGCAGAACGAGCGCCCGCCGGCGCGCGCCGACACAAAGCTGGGCGAGTTCATGGCGGGCATCAGCCCGCTGGACCCGTTCCAGAGCTTTCTGCTGTCGCCGACGCGCTGCGCCAGCGCCGTCGAGTCGTTTCTGTGGGTGATTCTGGCCAAGACGGTGTTTGGCGGCTGGTACTGGGCGGCGGGCGGGCGGCTGCCGCTGCACGACGTCTTTGCGTGGATGCGGCCGGGCGACTATTCCTTTGCCGTGTACAGCGACGAGGACAAGGAGGCCACCGCCACCAGTGGTGGTGCTGGTAGTAGTGGAGGCACCACCTCCACCGACGCCGAGGCGGAGCGCCGCTTCTACACGTGGCGCGCGACGACGGCCAAGCTGGTCGCGGAGCGCCCCGGCATCATGGTGCGCGACAACTTGCGCAACAAGCTCGTCGAGGAGATCTGCATGACCATCGAGCCGTACCTGCGCGCGGCCAACGACGGCAGCCACGCCGAGGAGCTGCACAACATTGTCAACAAGGCCTGCGAGTTCGACCGCGACACCAGCCAGCAGGCCTCGCGCCTCGAGTGGATCTTCTGCCGCCACCCCGGCCAAAAGGACCGCGGCGCGCCCCAGCGCTTCAACCCGGCCGTCATGGACACGCCCATGTGGGAGGACGCGCCCACCGACCAGTCCGAGGTGCTGCTGGTCGTCGCCCCGGCGCTGCGCAAGCGCGGCCGCTCCAACGGCGAGGACTACTCGGTCGAGACCATGCTGCTGAAGATGGACGTGACCTGCGAGCCGGTGACGGACATGATTGTAGCATAGGGTGTGTGTGTGTGTGTCTTTTTCCTTCTTTCTTTTTTCTTTATGTCTTGGATGAACGCGGTACTTGCAGAGACCAACTGTCTTGGTATTCCTTATATTTCGTATCTATTTCGTATCTGACTTATTCTCGCTACGGCTCATGCAATTTGAACCACCCTTCGACGTATTCCTCACTGTGTCGGTGTGCTGCCCTCCCCCGTGCCGTTGCTGGTCTTGTCCTTGGGCACGACCGTCGACCCGCCAATGCCCAGCTCGGCCCCCCCGTCGTTGTCGCCCGGCCCGCCCGCCACCGGCGACGAGGCCGCCGCCGTCTGCACCATCTCGCCCTGGATGTAGCCTGCATGGCCCAGCTCTTCGTGGGCCTCGCAGGGGCCGAAGACGTAGGCGGCCTCGCCGTGCACGGCGTCGTCGCCCAGGAACAGCTCCTCGTCGCTCATGCGCAGCGGGATGCGCAGGACGTGCTGGATGAAGAGCAGAATGAGCGACGTCCACACGAGATTCCAGCCAATGATGAACATGGCGCCGGCCATTTGGTAGCCCAGCTGGATGCCGTTGCCGGCGATGGCGCCGCCCGGGTTCGTGGCGCCAAAGGCCGCGCAGCCGTCGACGGTGGCCCAGAGGCCCGTGCCAAAGCCGCCGACAAAGCCGGCGACCATGTGCGTGTGCATGACGCCGAGGGTGTCGTCAAAGTGGCGCTCGAGCCACGACAGCTTCTTGGCCACCACGTTCATCGTGAACCAGGGCACGGAGCCGCTGCCGAGGCCCAGCAGAATGGCGCCCCAGCCGGCGACGTAGCCCGCGGCGGGCGTGATGGCCACGAGGCCGGTGATCATGCCCTGGACGGCGCCGATGACGGACGGCTTCTTGAAGACGACCATGTCGAGGCCGATCCACACCAGCAGCGACACGGCGGTGCAGAGGTTCGTGTTGAGCACGGCCACGCCGGCGTCGGCGTTCGCGGCGTACGGGTCGCCGCCGTTGAAGCCGTTCCAGCCGATCCACAGGATGCCGGCGCCGATGAGCACGACGAGGATGTTGTTGGGCCGCGCGTCCTCGCGGTCCTTGGCCATGCGGGGGCCGATCCAGTACGAGCCGATGAAGCCGGCGGTGCCGCTCGACAGGTGGATGACGTAGCCGCCCGAGTAGTCGAGCACGCCCAGCTGCGTCAGGAAGCCGCCGCCCCAGATGGAGTAGGCGCCCACCGTGTACGACAGCGTCAGCCACAGCGGCACAAAGACCATCCACGCGTAGAAGCTCATGCGGCCCAGGAACGCGCCGGCCGTGATGACGAGCGTGATGGCCGCAAACACAAACTGGAAGTACACCATGGTGGCCAGCGGCATCTCCTGGCTGGCGCCGGCGCCGCCGTTGAGCGACGGCAGGTTCGACTGCGTCAGCATCTTGTCGATGCCCAGCACGTTGTTGGGCTTGCCCACAAACGGCAGCATGTACTCGCCAAACGACGCCTCGTACGCCCACAGCACCCAGCAGATGAGCACCGCCGCAAACGCATAAAAGGCCATGAACGCGCTGTTGATGGCCCACTTCTTCTTCATCACGCCCGCGTACAGCACCACGAGGCCGGGCACCGACTGCAGGCCCACGAGCGACGCCGCCGTCAGCTGCCACGCATTGTCACCTGGAGCGTTCAGTTAGAAGGGGTGAAAAGGGTGAAAACTACAATAAATACAATAAGAAAAAAATCATGGAAAGTACACACCACTGCCGACGGGCGACGTGGGCACCCACCAGATGGGACTGGTTGCGTTGGACATTGCTTGCTGTGCTGTAACAGAGACTGTGCGAGGAAAAGGTCGTGCGACGTGACGGGATGAGTGTTGGTAAAAAGGTTAAGAAAGGGCAGCTCCAAACAACAGCAGACCAACCTTCTAGCTGTGGAGGACGCGGCCGTATTTAAGATGCCGCCCTGCAGCAGACGGGACCATATTGAAGAGAGCGACCTGCAGAAGACAAGGCCGATGCTAGGTTCCCCTTCGACATGGGGTTCATCCTTTCGACATGGGGCCACGGCGAGGAGGATGGGGGACAAGCTGAAGCTGAAAGGTGATGGCTGCGTGCTGGCAGGCGTAGAAGAGCAACGGAATGCGCCCGCTCTGCTTGGGACAGCCAGACAGGAGGGGCGATAGCCGACGCATTGTTCGTTATCGGTATCTCCCTGGCCCGTAAAGGATGCAAAGAATGCGCGGAGGCAATAGAGCCAAACCCCATTCGAAATGGACAAAACAGCGAGAAAGACGTCCGAGAGATAAGGGCAGCGAGAGCTCGCTTCCATTGGACCATTGGACCAGCTCATGGAGCTTGCCTCGCGCCTGCTATCCCATTTGGGCAGACGAACCCGGGAACCGCAGAGTTCGGGCGGATGTGATGGATGTGGGCTGATAGATATGGCGAGGAAAGCAGGAAACACAAACGTGCGGTCCAGGACAGAGCGAACGAACCAGTGTGGCGCGTGAATGTTTCGTTTTGTCATCCAAATGTGCTGTCGTGGCCGAGCTCTACGATGCATGCTCTTACATGCTTTCCTTTATTAAACCGATACGATGTGCACCGCATGTCGTTACGACGCCTGGTTCATTTCATGGGGCAGCCGTTGACACAGTCTTGGCATGCTCATGTCCCGCCTTGGCTCTGGGGTAGCCGAGCAAAATTGTGGGCTTCAAAAAGCTTAGCATGGGCCGTGGAGATATGCACGTGGAGAGAGGCGTGCCATGTGAATCACATCCGCGCTGGAGAATGGGAACAGAGAGAACGATACGAGATACAAGGGCCACAATAAAAGTGACACAAACGTATTGCCAACGAGCAGCATTTCCATTTCTGATTAGATGAGCAATAAAAATTGACAGCAATCGTCAGAGATATGCAGAAGCAATGGGGTACAGCCTGTCGTCCAGAAACAAACAGAACAAAGAAGAGGCGGGACATCAAAGCGTGTTAGAGACGAGCTAAACATGGGATTTGATATTAGTCCCGTCCAATCACAGCTCTGCAGCTTATCTTGTCTGTTTATGACGACGCTTGGAGGTCCGACAACTCCTGGTCTTTCATATCGGTTTATTCCAATTTTGTTCAATGCCAAATATAGGAAATGACAGGACAGTCTTTTTGCTTGAGGATACCACTTGACCTGTTCTAGTTATTCTATTTTGTGGGGGTACCGCCGTCTTTTGGAACGCATACACGGACTATCAGAGATACTGTATTTCGTCCAATGCCGACCGTCCTTCACGCCCTCACGCTGACATCTGCTTTTCGCGTCGCTTGGCGCCGGCCAGCGCCGTCTCGTCCGTGCCCTGGTGCAGGGTGACATGCACGCGGTCGGTGAGGTACTTATCAATGTCGTTGGGCAGCAGGATGCCAGCGACAAAGGCCATGCCCGTGAACGCCAGTGTGACGAGGAACACCGTGCGGTAGGCGTCAAAGTTGCCGACATAGTAGGCCTTGGTGCCGACGGCCATGATGTCGGGGGTCAGGCCGCTGACGTTGGCAAACGACCCCGTGGTGAAGCCGTCGAGGAACGTGGGCACGCTGGACGCGGGAAGACCGGCCTGCTCGACGGCGGGCGCGACGGCCGCCGGGATCGTGACGGCGCTGCGGGCGCGGAGGACGACGGTGTAGATGGTGCTCGCAATGCACGAGAGAAAAAAGCGGATGCTGCCGGCCAGGCCGCCCGAGGTGCCCAGGTTGGCCTGGTCCGTAGCGGTGAGCGTAATGAGGGAGATGGACAGCGACTCAACCCAGCCGAGGAAGAAGACGCCGAGCGACACGAGCACGCCGGCGCGTACCTTGGTCTCCGGGCTGCAGGTGGCCACAACGGCAAAGAAGAGGCCGCCCAGCATGGCCGAGCCGAGGCACTGCCACTTGAGGTGGCGGAGGCGGCTGGCCAGCGCGCCGCCGACAATCTCGCCCGTCACAATAAACATGCCGACAAACGTCGACAGCCACGGCGCGTACATGGGATCGTCCGCGCGCGCCCACACGAGGCCGCAGAGGCTGGGCCACACAATGGCAAAGGCGTAGTACATGCTGGCCGCGACGCCCGACAGCACCGTCGCGGCGTTCCAGCCGCGGTTGCGGAACAGGTGCATCGGCACCAGGGGCTCCTTGGGGTGCGCAAACGTCTCCCAGCACAGGAACGCGACCAACGCGACCGCGCCGAGCACAAGCGTGCTGACGACGGCCGCCGACGTCCACGCGTACAGCGCGCCGCCCCAGTTGAGGCCCATCATGAGGAGCAGCAGCCCGCCCGAGAAGAGCACGGTGCCGACGTAGTCAAACTCCCGCAGGTACGTCGCCATGCGCTCGTTCTGGTGCTTCATGTGGAACGTCGGCGGGTGGTAGAAGAGGAGCCAGCAGAGGAACGACGCGCTGTTGACGGCCACCAGCACGTAAAAGGGCCCCCGCCAGCCGACGCGCGTAAACTGGATAAACGCGTTGGACACGGCCGGCGCAAAGGCCGAGCTGGGGAACTGCCACATGTACACATAGGCGTTGCCGAGGAACCGGTACTTCATCGGCACCAGCTCGCCCATCACGTAGTAGTACGACAGCTGCGTGGCCGCCCCGATGCCAATGATGGTCATGCCGCCAATCAGCGTGTCGACCGTCTGGGCCGTCGCGCACACAATCGATCCGACGATGCCGAGGAACGTGCCGCCCGTGAAGATCCAGCGCCGCCCAAAGATGTCCGTGACCCGCCCGATGATGGTCAGCGTCACCGAGCTGGTGAGCGTGTACACGAGCGCCACCCACTGGATGTTGGCGGACGGGCCAATGTCGTTGTTGATCGTGGTGAGAATGGGCGCTGCAAAGCCGAAGCCGGCCACGCCGCCCGTCAGGCCCAGGCCGATGGCCAGCATGGTGCCCAGGAAGAAGCGGCTCTTGAAGTAGCCCGGCGGAAGGTCGCCCTCGTCGACGTCGAACCGGGCGCCGCCAACGGCCTCGTGCTCATCGCTGGAGCCTTGGTAGGTTGCGTCTTGTGGCTGGTGTTGCTCATGATGGCTGGCCGGCGAGATCTCCTCGGCGCTGTGGCTGGTCTTTTCGACGTCAGCCATGATTGCGAGAATGAGGAAGCTTGTCGATGCTACTTCTATCGTTGGCAAGGACGGGATTCTATAGAATCTAATTTACGAGGGAAAATAGATGGACATCTTCATCCATATATCTACCCTTGGCGTCCTGCATGGACTCTTCATACATGACCGTCCAGCCATTTCCGTCAGAAAACACCCAAGATCGTCCTTTGTTCGGCAGTCGGCCAGCAGAATCTGCTGTGTTTTGTTTTCCTTGGGTAGACACCCCTTTCTTCTCCAAAAAAACGGCTTTCGTTTTCCGTAGTTGGCACTCTTGGCGCAAGAGCACACAAAACCCCAAAGTTCTCCAGACAGCGCCATGGGATCAACAGGCGTCCTCCGCAACACGCTACTTTCGCTCCCGCAAGATTCTGCGGAGGCTGCGGGGACGGACAGGATGGACATGATGTGGCGGCACACGGAGCTCAACCGACAAGAGTGCGAAGTTGAGTTCCAACGGAGACGAAAGACTGGCAAACCGGCGTGTAGCCTTTTTTTTTTTCCGAAAGCACGCTACTTATTCATCGCTGCTTTCCTCCACGCGATGCCATTGACTGCCCATGCGAGTCAATACCCAAATTGGAGGTTATTCCAGTCGATCTACCCAGACTGTGCCCAGAGGAACATCAATGACTCGCTCTTTCGTTAGTAGAACCTCGGGGCAGCAGCCCTCATGCGGAGCCGATGGCCGCTGTTCATGGGCGGACGATCACTTACAAAGTGCTTTGCGTGTTTGTGGGAGTCAGTGGACACTACTCCACATTTTGGCAGTCATGACACCCATTTTTAGTGGGCCCAGAGACCTGTGCAATTCACAGAGGCCAAGCTCGAATTGCTCTGATGGACTATGTTTTATTGAATCGTCAACATGCCTCATGTACCATGAAAATAGCTTAGGTCACTAAGAAGAGAAAATGACATACCTTTGTATCCAAAAGTGTCTTGTCTCTTGACTGTGTTGTTGCCCACTGTCGGCTCTCTTCACCACCGGAATTGTCTTGGCAGACCTCCGTTCAACATAAAACAGCGCTATCATTCTTGGCTTGCTTGGAGAGGACGCCTCCAAGCGATCCCTTGACAGGCGAGTTGCAAAGTGAAAGTAAATAAAGACTTGCAGCGCTATCAGCCGGAACAAATCCACCAAACAGGATAAAGATCTCCATATTGCTTGGCTCAGTCCCAGACCATCGGAATGCCATCTGAACTCGTACAGCATCCAAATCGGATGTGTCGTTCCCACTCATGGTACATTCCGTAAATGGCGGCTTCCGGCACATCAGTGTGGCCAGCGTTCACTCCGTGTCAACATCAGTGCCCTCATGTTTCTTTGCTGGCTAACCTTTTATTTGAACAATTAAGTTTTTTCACTCCGGTCTTTTCTGGAAGCCTATTGTGCATGTAGTAGCCTTCACGGTGCCTTGTCTTTAGTTGTCAGCCTAAGATGAGTCGCCTCTGAGTCACCGTTGAAAGCAATGCGACAGAATCTCGGCATTTTTCTTGGCTGGCGGCGCAGCAAACTCGGGGATTAATGGCCCGTAAGGCGGTGTGATGATATCAAGGCCAGACAAAGGTAATGGACATGACTTTCTGCGCATCTGTCAAAGGTCTGCTCTAGAGCAGCCTGTTGAAGGTGCCACAAGTATGGAGAAATCACGCCCCACGGCAACCTCGCTTTGTTGTGAGCCCGCTTCGACATGAGTTTGTTCCGCAGAAAGGGTAGGGCGATGATCTCAGAAACCTACCTCCCAAAGCACCTTTGATTCGCTGGGAAAACAAGGCCTTGTCTTGTGGTAGAGCAAAAGAGTTTGGGGGTGGCTGCGCACCTGTTGATAGCGTCATTGCTGCCTGATGCTGCAGTTGACGAGGCTGAGCAGTGCCAGTCGAGAACGGACCCATCATTAAAGTTGGTACGACCTGTCACAAGAACGCCGTGCGAGACACAGGAGAGTACCTCCGTATGATGTCTTATGAAGAACGACCGTTTGCCATCTTCATTGCGCCGCCATGACGTCGCACTTAATGAGGGAGCCCAATTAAATTGCTGCCTACTGACGGGTAAGTTTCTAACGACTTGTTACAATCAAGTTTGCCAGTGCAGCGGGGTTTACTATCAGAGAATGGAAAAGCCATTCAGAAGGACAAGAGATCCCAAATTACCAGCGTCACGTCTGCTATGTTAGGAACTTTGTCGCGTGGCCGACATTGGCAAAACGGAGAAACCGTTCACTCCAGCCTTCATCCAGCAACAAACAACTCTTATGTCTGGCCAGTTCGGAAGCACTAAAACGGAGCGGCAAGCCAGGGTCCACCGTTTTAGCGCCCGGAATGGCAAACAACTCGGCTGCTGCCGCTGATAGCTAGTCGGCCCAACTAGAGGGCTCTTAATGGGGCTCATTGCTTTTGCGCGTCATAGGTCATCAACTCTGTCAAAAGTTGCCATATTCTTTTACGATACATCACGAATTAAATGGATCTAGCCAAGGTTGCCCTGCAGGAAGAACAGGACATATTTTATTCATGAAACGGGATGCTGTACGACGCCCTGAACTCTGCATGGGCTGGGGGAAACAAAAACAAGCATTGCCAGCCAATTATCTCGGCCTGCAGGCACAGCCCTGGGTAAAGGCGGGCGGCAAGGCATCCCAGTCGTGCCCCAACCGGAACGCGTTCCAAGATGGCCAGGCCGCGAGCAGGAGGCCACCCTCCTTGAGAAAGGAGGAGAAAGGGGGGAGGGGTCTGTTTTGAGGAACGGTGAAAGAAAAGTATGGCTGACACTCTTGTAAGGAAACATGCTATCGATATGAACATTTACATTGTCTTAGGATCACGATAACCTTCTCTTTGTCCTTCCTAGTTTCGTTTTCTTTACGCCATCTTCGACGATACCCTTGCGAGCTTCGATCCGGATCGCTCAACGTAATGTCACACGCATTTTCACAGTCCCACGATGCTGTCCCGAATTCGTGCAGAGCCAAGGCAAAGGAAAACCAAAGTCTTCAAGAAATGGTTTAAAAAGGATGAATCGCTCGGTCACGCGCCAGGTATGTTTTTGTCGACAGTGTAATAGCACTGATAAAACAGAAAACTCACGCACTGCAGAATCTGGTTTGTCAGAGATACTTGCCGGGAGGCCAAAGTCCAGACAAAAGGAGCGAGATAAGGCAGAACATGTGCATCGAACGCCAGAAGAAGTACGGAAACTCCTAGACTCCTTGAACATCCTGACCGAAACCGACAATGATATACACTCTGCGGTTGTGCGCCTCGAAGAAGAAGAAAAAGACGAAGTTGATGCGAGCACAAATCCATCACCGATTCAAGAATCGGAACCTGAAAAAGTCCTGCTCAAGACAGAGGTGAAGACAGAGGTCAAGACAGAGGTCGAGACAGAGGTCAGGACAGAGGTCGAGGCAGAGGTCGAGACAGAGGTCAAGACAGAGGTCAAGACAGAGATCGAGACAAAGGCGAAATCGAAACCCGACGTCACAATCAGTGCCACTCCGGCTCGCAAATCACAGGAGCTGTGGGATGCAGCCTTTGTCAGCATCGAAAAGTCCCCAGGAGGCAAAGAACTGGCACAGAAATATTTCAAAATTTTGCACAAAACTCTCGGAGATGAAGACGACATCAACGACATTGACCGTCCTGTGGACGACAGTATCGGGGCCGGGCCTAGTATGGCCACCTTGCGCCAACGAAACATGGTCCGTCTCGTGCAAGCTGGGTTGAAAAAGGTGGAAAAGTCGGCCAAGATCACCAACACAATGGGCGCCTTTGCCGACGCCGTTTTGGCAGCCAGGCCTCTGGCCGAGTTTATCATCCAGACGGTTCCCCAGGCGGCACCAGCCGCGTTGCCCTGGGCCGGTGTATGTGTTGGTCTCCAAGTACGTCTCTGCCTCGTTTGGCCCCAAATACGGCCAACATGGCAACCGCGCCCCGTTTGGCCCCCAACCAACCAACCAAAGGCAACTGGTCTAACGTTTTGACTCCCTCCTTGCTACTAGTTGCTCTCCAAGCCTGCCAAAGCAAACAAGGTGAACCTCGAAGGCGTCAAATACGTCATTTCGCGGATGGAATGGTATTGCGCACTCACCGACCAACTGCTTGACCCATATAGCATCGAGGCCAACGGCCGGCCCATTGAGGCGATTCTGAACACGCTCCGGGAGCGAGTCGTCGACCTGTATCGGAAGCTGCTTCTCTTTCTTATGGAGAGCGTGTGCACCTACTACCGTCACCAGGGACTTGTTTTTGTCAAGACCGCGACGGAACTCAGCAGCAAATGGAGTTCGAGCTTGACGAAAATCAAGGAAGACGAGGCCAATCTACGCAACGACTCGGCGCAGTTCAACACCGTAGAGGGCCGACGAGTTCTTCAAGAGACCAGCGACCGCACAGCCGCGACAATGGAGCTCGTGGGCAACCTCGACAGGACCATCCGGGACTTTATGGACGAACAGAGGCAGATGCAGACGAGCGAGAACGACCGGTTTCTGCTCCGGCAACTGTTTGTGGTCAATCCCAAAGACGACATGGATGCCATTGAGAGGAGAAAGGACGCCTTGCTCGACGACGCCTTCAATTGGATCCTCGACGTGCCCGAGTTCAGGGTCTTTACCAACGACATCGATACCCACGACGATCTGTCGTCGACAATGTCACAGCGCAGTCGTCTTCTCTGGATCAAAGGCCCGCCTGGCACGGGAAAGACGATGCTTCTGCTCGGCATCATCCGTGAGCTGTCGGAGCGGCCGGCGGCTCTGAGCCCAGGCATCGCGCACTTCTTTTTCCAGAACGCCGACAACACGCTCAACAGCAGCATGGCGGCCGTGCGCACGTTGGTCTGGATGCTGCTCCAACAGCAGCCACATTTGCTTCATCATCTTCGGGACAAGTACGAAAACGCCCAGCCGTCCTTTGTTGGTCGTCACGCATTCGTTGGCCTCTGCAACATGCTGGAGACCATGCTGCGGGACCCCGAATTGGAGCCCGTCTACTTCATTGTCGACGCCCTCGACGAGTGCGACGACGGCCTGCCGGAGCTCATTGACCTCATTGCCCAGTCGCTCGCCATCACCGACAAGGTGAACTGGCTCGTGTCCAGCCGCCCGACCGTGCCTCTCGGCACGCGCATCGCGGCCAGCGCGCTCGTCGAGCTGGACTCGCAGCGGCTCGAGGCGCCGGTCCATGCCTACATCAACCACCAGCTCGCGCGCCTCACGAATGCGCCCGGCTACACAGACGCCATCCTCAGCGACATGGCCCGCGAGATCACCAGCCGCGCCGACAACACGTATCTCTGGGTCTGGTTCGTCTTTCAGCGGCTCACCAAGCCAAACAAGAACGGCAAGACGCTCAACGGCATGTACGCGCTGCGGGCCATCCAGCAGTTCCCGCCCGGTCTCTCGGCGCTGTACGACCACATCATGGTCGCCATCGAGCAAGGCGAAGAGGACGACCCTGCATACTGCAAATCCGCACTCCGGGCCGTCTACCATGCCTACCGCCCCTTGTCTCTGGCGGAGCTGGCCACGTTCGTCGACCTGCCCGAAGACCAGACGGCCCGCATCGTCGAAGAGTGCGGCTCCTTCCTCACGCTCACAAACACAACTGTCGGCTTGATCCATCAGTCCGCCAATGACTACCTCACAGAGAACTACACTGTACGGTTGGGGACCACTAGCATTGCCCAGGGCCATGCCGACATGGGACGGCTGTGTTTGGGTGCCATGTCGGCGCGACTGCATAAGAACATGTACGATCTTCCTAACATCGGCCCCTACGATCGAGAGACACCACCACCCGATCCGGATCCGCTTGCCTCCGTGCGCTACGCCTGCATCTACTGGATTGATCACTTCCGAGATGCTGTTGGTCATTCAGGGGAGAAGGCCGGAACTTCTTTACTCGACAGAGAAGCAATCTACTCGTTTTTACTGGCTCACCTCCTTCACTGGCTGGAGTCTCTTTCTCTATTGGAAAAAATAGGTGCCGGGCTGGTATCCATGCGCGCGCTCCAAGATCTTGTCCCAGTCGACGAGACGTCCGATTTTGCCGACTTCGTTCGAGACGCAGTATCTTTCATCATGTGGAACAGCTTCTGTTTCGAGCTGTCACCGCTTCAAGCATACGCATCGGCTGTTCTGTTCAGCCCGAAAAAAAGCAAAGTCAAGCAACATTTTGAAAGGCAGCCTGAGCTAGACTGGATTAAAAAAAAGCCTGTGGTTGACGAAGACTGGCAGCAGTGTATGCAGCTCAGTGGCCACAAATACGCAGTTAAAGTGACCGCTTTTTCACCAGACGGAAAGCTACTCGTGTCTGGCGCAAACGACGGGACTGTTAAGGTGTGGAACATTCAATCTGCAATTTGTATAACTACATTTGTCGGCAGAGCCACGTCCTCGGATTCAGTTGCCTTTTCTGTCCCAGATGGAAAACATGTGATGTCGTGCACATGGGACGGTGCAACGACGATTTGGGATGTGGCATCAGGAGAATGCATGCATTATTCAACAAGACAATACAATGGCAGCCTCAGATCGTCTGCACTTTGCACCACATCTGGCATACGAGTAGCATTCGGCTATAACAATGGAAAAATCGAGGTCCGGGATGTCGCATCAGAGAAACTTGTGGAGCTATTCACCAACAGCAGTGAAACGATCGTCCATCTAGCTTTTTCTCCTGATGGAAAGCATCTCGAGTCTGGGGCAAGCGATGGCACTGCAAACACGTGGGACATCGCATCTGGCATGTGTCTGAATACACGTGACAACGACACCAAAATTGCTGAAATTAACTACAACAATGAAAGACACGAGGACATGTTTGCATTGCCAAATGGTCGATGCCTTCTTGCAAGTCGGGTAGATGCCATCATACGAATCTGGGACCTACCATCCGGACATCGCCGTCATCGGACTGAACCAAACTCTTATGAAGTCCATCGAATTGTGTTCGCCCCTGATGGTTCCCTTTTGGCTGCAGCTATGGACAACGGGAAAATTGCAATATGGGACCCGGCGTCGGGCAATCGTCTCCATGTCCTGAAAAAGCACACAGGGACGATCCAGTCGGTTGCCTTTTTCCCTGACGGACAGACGCTAGCATCCGTCTCGTCGGACGGCGCAGTTAATATATGGAATGCGGCTTCGGGAGAGTTTGTCTATGGCATCGAGGATGGTGACAGCCGCTTTATAGCCGTGGCCGTTTTACTTAACGGGAAGCGGCTGGCAACGGTTACGTCCGACTTCGTAGTCGACATCTGGAAAACCAGCTCGTGGGAGCGAATAAAGACAATGCGCAGTGGTTCTTTCGACGTTGTCGCCTCGGCGGACGGAAGCAAATTGCTGCACTCTACAGAAAACGGAGATATTGAGATTTGGGACTTGGCGTCTAACGAATGCAGACTTACAGTCAAAGATTGCCATTGTTTTTTTGCGCGGACCTTCTCACTCGATGAGACGAAAATTGCATTTCAGTCGGACAATTTCGTTCAGGTGTGGGATTTGCAGTCCAAGAAGTTCCTTCATTCACTCGAGGGAAATGACACAATAGCCATGCAAATTGATTTCTCACCGGACGGAAGGTTGCTGGTGTCCGCCACCGCACCAGGTCGCGTCAATGTTTGGGATGTTGCGACCGGGCTACGGACCCAAACGTTCGACGACTTCGGAAGTGTCCGCATAGCGGCCGTGTTTCCTCCTGGCGACGAGTCAGGGGGTTCAAAACGGTTTCATGGATTGGGCTGGGATGGGGAATGGATCACCAATGACGGAGAGCTCTTGCTTTGGGTGCCCAATCGCTATCGGTCTGGTTTAGCATTTGCGGTGTATGGGGAAAGCATCGCAATTGCTTCACAGTCTGCGGCTGTATGGGTTATCGGACTCTAGGTACTATTAACTGGGAAACATTAAACAGAGTCACGTGACATTCGAGAATGCATGTGCATGCACTGAACAATGAATTGTCTACTAGCAGCCAATCAAACTCTCAGCCGTCACGCGCCCGGCTCAGGAACTGACAACAACCCCTCATCCCCCCTTTTGCCTCTACTCCTTTTCTTGGTCTCCTGTGCCACTTGGCAATTGGCGCTGTAATACGAATGTACGTAGTTATACCCCTGTCCGAAGTTGACTTGTTTCTAGCTCGCCAACACACTCCACCGCTACACGAGTTTCCTCCGCCTCCGCCACTTCGGTTCTTCACCTCTCGTTTTCCAATTCCATTTACTCGACAGTGCCGTCCTCGACATTAATTCCTTCCTCACGGCCCATCACCGGCCCCCAACCCCCCCTCTTCCTAGACAATGGCTGCCGAAACGCCTGTGGGCGTCACGTTCGTCGACACGCTCAAGAAGTCTTTTGTCGACGTTCCCGTTGATCCTGCAACCAAGGCAATCGACACAGAGACCTTCCTTGAAGCCACTGAGTCGTTGATTACCATTTTCGGTCAGTATGGAACCAATGGCAGGAAAATCTTGGGAAGAAGCAGAGGAAATGGGACGGGAAAGATGCTATCGAGAAAACCAAACTTGCTGACACGCTCTGACAGACATTCTCGGTCCCACGGCCTTCGGGCTTGTCAAGGAAGATATGCTCGGCAATGTCGCCAAGATCCGCAAACGGCAGCTTGAGGCCCCCGGTGTCTCTGAGACACTACAGTCGCTTGTCGTCAACGAGCTGAAGACCAAGAAACACAACGCGACCGAGGGCCTGCTATGGCTGTTCCGCGGCCTCGAATTCATGCATACAGCACTGTCCGAGAACATCAAGTCCGATACCGAGGAGCTTAAGACGTCCTTCAACGGGGCATACAAAGAAACCCTCAGCAAACACCACAACTTTGTAGCTCGCACCGGCTTCAGGATTGCCATGGCTGCGTGCCCGTATCGCAAAGACTTCTACGCCAAGCTGTCGCCGGACTACGATGTTCTCAAGCCGAAATTAAAGGCGTGGCTGGCGGCCCTGGAAAATATTGTGGCGATTCTGGAAACGTTCCTTGACAGCAAGGAGGCCAAGTGGTAGACGATGAAACGATAATCGGGCCGGCGTGGTATGGTCACGGATACCTCTGGACGACATCCGTAACGGCATCGCATACACACCATCAGAGACTTTTGGAGCACAGCCGAAGATATTTTCGTTGACGCCTTTAAAACGCCCATGAGCGAACAATACTGGAGTTGAGAACTGCTGGGACATAGAGGGAGTATCGGGCGCCGACAAAATTACGGCGAACTTCAGGACAATTTTGGATTAGGGCGGCTCTCGAGCCTTTCCATGTTCACGGCCTACGTATATATATATATCGAATACAACGCGCAAACAACATTGCTTTCCTGTTTATGCTGCATCGCTCTGCAGTGACTCAGCCACAAACGCTTGTCAGTGCTTATCACACTTTGCTCCATAGTTCTGCATTACCAAATTGGCCGCAAAACGTCTTACACCAGGTGACCCACAATTACATGAGCAGCCCCCGTGCAGCCGCTCCGGCTGTAGTGTGCGGCGCCGCATCTGCCGGATGTTGATTCGAAATACGCCTGAAAGAGACAACACACGGGCCAAACACAAAACCTGCCAAGGTTGAGTCGTTTTCTTTCTTAATTTTTCGATCTTTCTCCTTTTCTTCTAGGAAATTCCCCGGCAGTATTCGGGGATTCGGATATGCAAAAGGCATCCTTGGGTCTCAGATGGAAAACTCATAAGCCGGCCAATTCTCTCTCATATTTCTTCTCGTTCGTTCCGTCATCCTTTTGCCGCCTCTGCTTCCCGTACCGGGTCTGGACCAGTAGGAAGATGCAGCTTGGTACTGTAAGCCATTCCGGGATATCCGCCAAGAGCTCACCGGTACAACAGAATGGAGCATACAGAGCACCCAAAACGACATTATCAGCTCATTTTGGCGATCTTCTAAGAATGTACAGTCAGCTAACCAGGTCTGAGCGATATGACTTCCACTGACTGCATCTGACGACGACTTCGTGTGAGGCGCGAAGAAGAGCCAGTTCATGCTTAAAAAGGACCGCGTTTCTCTATCTCTCACAGCCGCAGCTCTATCCGACCTTCGACCGGCCCAACAATCTTAGAAAGATCCTCGAATATTCTAAACTGATTTTCTTTTCAATTCGTCATGCGTCTGTTCACAACAGGAGTAGCCTCTCTTGAGATATTCTCTCTGTGGGTGGCAGCTCTTGCGGCAGCCACACCTGTCCCCGACACCTGGTCGTCATCTCTCGCAAAGCGGCACCACAGAGGCCGGCTAGATAACTGTCCGGACGTTCATGGTGGCAGCTTCATCATCAATCAATACCAGCTATACCCAGAAAACGCCGACTGGGACGGTGACTCTTGTCTCGTCTACTTTGGGTGAGTCGACCAGACGCCTTCGTACGTCCGGTCTCCGGTTACACCTACTAACAACAAAGGTCACTATGGAACGCTACGGTTGCCATCTATGATCCCTACATTGACGATTTTATCACAATCCTGGAATTTGCCAATGTCTCCCACACAGGCACAGAGCATATCGGTGGCGTCGCCTGGGATCGCTTCACCGGCTTGGTCACCATTCTCGTCGGCTCGGCTGCGCCTTGGGCCACGGCCGGTGCTAATGTGTCCGGCACCGACATGGTTCTCAAATGGGATCCAAAAACGCAAACCACACTTTGGACCGTCAACCTCACTACCACCACTCAGGGACTTTACGGCGCCTTCCAGGACATTGAGACTGACAAACGTGGATATACCTATGTTGTCGGCACGTACCCTGGCTCGATCCTGCGCATCAATGCCGACGGCACTGAGGTGATACCATGGTACGGCCCTCTCCAGACAGCCAATACGACCATCCCAGGCCTTGGTGGGCTCGTCGCCCTGGGGCCCGAGGGCAACCTGCTGCTGGCCAACGACGCGGGCAACGGCAGCATCTACCGCCTTGACACGCGCGATGCGCTCGCGCCCCGCACGCTGACCGAAGTCCCCATTGTCCCAGACATCCGGTTCAAGGACACCGACGCCATCTACGCACCGCCCATGTACAATGGCACCGTTCTTCTGGTGTCGAGCCACGCTGCGGGCATCCAGGTGCTCGTGTCGCCCGACGCCAGCTGGACGACGGCCCGGCACGTGGGCACAATCCCCAACCCACCAAAGGACACAGCCGCCGACGTCACCAACGCCACCATCGGGTCAGTAGTGACGGCTGCCGTCCAGATCGGACCCAACGCGGTGTACATGATCGACGAGTGGCTTTTTGATCCTTGGGTTCCCGGCGAGGTCGCGGGGAACCGAACAGAGTTCCCGATGCCAGACATCACGGCCCAGATTAAGACGCTGCTGCGTCTGCGCGAATGCTTGTAGACGGAACGCCCTTCCCATGGCTTTACGATCTGGGAACTTCCAGGATCCAAAGTATCGCGAAGTGGATGGCACCAAAACCGGTTGACCGGCAACTTTCACATATTATTCTGTCTTGACACTCAGTACTACCGAAAACTAGCTCATATGCCTTTTACTGTACTGCTTTTTGTCCTCTGTTGTGTTTTTGCCTCTTAATTGTCAATATACGGGCTTTTTGGCGTGTCCTGCCGTCTCCACAACAGGACAATTAATTGTCTCCATTTTATCCGGAGAGCGGCCCATCCCCACACTCTTTGCGTTCACTTTATTGATTTGAGTTCTTTTTCTATGTTCGTCCATTTACAGTGATTAGTTCTTCCTCCAGAAAAATAAAACGTCATATAGTCCGGGTCATGAGGACGGCATTTTTAAGCGTTCATGTCTGTTGTATATTGCGAGATAATACGAAGAAATGCCATAACAAATACCTTCTCAGCTTTAAAAGAGGACGTTTCCTTCCAGAATCTGTTGTTCTAAGCCAAGACATATGTGTTAATCATTTTCAGCGCCATATTTGATTTTTGCAGCATTGAACATTTGTCGTCATCTCATCCTCCATCATCATGAAGATTTCAGCGCTCCTGTTCGCGGCTGCCGCCAACGCTCACTGTCCGTTTTATCTTTCACATTTCCTAGGACCTTGCTGCCCATGACCATGTTAACACCTTTGTACAGACACTTTCCCGCACATCCAGGGAACCGCTGACTGGCAGACCGTTCGTATGACCGCCAACCACTACAGCAATGGTCCCGTCACCGACGTCTCGTCCGAGGCCATTCGCTGTTACCAGCTGACGCCCGGCGGCGGCGGCAGCACGTCCACCTCGGCCGTCAAGGCCGGCGGCACCGTCACCTGGTCGGCCAACCCCAACATCTACCACCCGGGCGCGCTGTCCGCCTACATGGCCAAGGTGCCTGAGGGCAAAACACTGGCCAACTGGGACGGTTCTGGCTCCGTTTGGTTCAAGGTTTACCAGGACATGCCCTCCGGCGGGGGGGGCCAGATGAATTGGCCATCGCAGAGTACGCTTTACATATAAATGACCCCACAGTGTGCTTTGTCAATACCTCGTTGTGCGTTTGCTAACCCCGCTAGACAAAGCAAGTGTCAGCTTCACGGTGCCTTCGTGCATCGAAAGCGGCGACTACCTGTTCCGCATCGAGCACGTGGCCCTGCACTCTGCGTCCACGGCCGGTGGTGCGCAGTTTTACATCTCGTGCGCACAGCTTTCCGTGTCGGGAGGCGGCTCCAAGAAGCCCACGAATCTGGTGGCATTCCCCGGTGCATACAAGGCAACGGATCCGGGCCTGATGATCAACATCTACAACAACGGCGGCAAACAGTACAAACCTGCTGGACCGGCCGTGTTTACATGCTAAGGAGGATACAAAGAGGAGGGCCACATGTTGGAGGAGTCGGAGAAGTTCGTAGCATATTTATTGCATAGTCGGTTTTTTATCGACGTTTACAAATTTATCTTCCTATCTTCTATCATATAGCTTCATTTGCTCTCATATGACAAACGATGACGAAAATATTTTAAAAAAAATTAAAAGAAAAAGGGAAAAAGAGAAAAAGAGAAAGAAGGAAAAAAAAAAGAATTCAAACAAAAGTAAGATAATAATATATTAGACATAGTCCTTGAAATTTTAGAAAGACTTTGTACTTTTTCACAACACGCGACATAAGCTCTTGTCAAGCATCGCAGATCGTGAGATGCTCTTGTGTTACACAGATCTCGCCATGGCTATGGATCGTACCTGCCGTTTTCAGCGCCAGGTCGCTCCTGCCATTTTGTGTCGTCACTACGACGCCGCAAAAGGTAAACAAAAAAGTGTGTCTAAAGTTTTAAGTGTCCAATCCCTCATCTTTTCATGCTCCCATTTTCGTCATAGAAAGCTTTTACACAGCCGTTACGAGAATTTCTTCGCCTTTGGCCTTTTGTCCGTCAACGAGTAACTCACGATTTCGATATCAGATACAATCCTGTCACAGCCTAGAAGTGCTGGAGAGCTACCGTCGATCCCATCCACGAGACTGTAGATTAGGCGAGCAGTCGAAGATCACAGTCCTCACCATGTGTATTATCCAACCCTACACTGCGTGGCACTGCGGTTGCCGCATTGAGGAAAACGACCCGGCACTGGCCCAAATCTGCATCGCAAAGGCTCGCAACGCAGAAGCCAAGTGCACCCTGTACGTCGTCCCATCATTTGGTGAGGATGTCCCCGCTCCATGCGATTGCCCAAGCCCGCAAGAGAGCTGTGACAGCAGCAGCAGCAGCGACAGTGGAGACAGCGTCGAAGACCTGGTCGAATCCAAGGCAGGCCAAAACAGCGGTGTCATGGACACATGCAGCGAGGATGCAGATTCTGGTGACGCAGACGGATGGCATGACAAGAGCATCGAAGACGAGATACTCGCTGACGACATCCAGTCGAGGCGCCTCCAAGCGCCTATCTCGCCGCGCATGTGCCCCGAACATGAAGCCAAGTTCGAGAACCTTGCCAACGCCTACTGGCGCAGCGAGACCCTTTGGCTGCGGCCCAAGATGCTCAACCACGGCCGGCGTGCGTATCAGGACCTGGTGCTCGCGCAACGCTGTGCTGACCGGCTCTGGGAGTTGTACCTCGTGTGGAAGTTTTTCAACGGTGGCGACCCGCACGGCGCTGCCATCGTGACTGGCCCGGATTTCCAACCACTCTACCGCACCGGCAGCGGCGCCGACGAGGTTTGTGGCAACGACAATACCGCGCGAAACCTGAAGGACGTTGCGGAGGTGGATGCGAGCCGCACGCTGCGAGCCGTTTCCAACTTTGGTGACGTCACCTACCGCGTCCTCCGTTGGGCGCTCGATGATCTCTTGACGGTACTCCGCGACATGCTACATCCGAGCGAGATGCTAGCTTGAGCCGAAGCTCTGCAGCGACTCTTTTCGTTGGAATTGGTTTCCATTTTGGAACTTTGGCTGTAAACGTTCGGTCTGAGATCGAACAGAACAGAAGTTATAGATGTGGCAATGGAGAAGTGTAAACGCACACCATATGTTTTGGCATTGGTCTAGCGCTTGGGTCAAATTGTTACCTAGGGTGACGCAGAGCGCCATAATATCATGTATTTTGGAAGAAAAACGAGCCGGCTCCCATATGATATGTATAAAGTGACAGTTTTGAAACTATGCTCGCTCTAGGGCCAGAGGTAAATAGCTGTGTAATTGCTGCAGGCCGTTCCCTACTGGATGGACCGAATTGGTGCACAGAGGGCAAGAGCATTGTTCAGGCCGTAAATCGTGACTGCCCAAAGTGTACCAGCAAACAGCGCTCCTTCCATTATGTCTTCTTTTCTCGGTCCACGGCCCCTTTTCCTCGAATTTCATCTCAGACTGAGATTTGACCTTCATGACAACTAACTCAACAACACACTCTGTCACCGTGTGGTGCGATCTCCCACGCACACTACTCCGATCATTTGGGCGCTTTTCTGGCAGCCGCCCCACTCGCCTTTGCCCTCTTCGCCATCGGTTCCTCCTTCCTTTGGCCCAATCACTTAACTTGACTTGTTTTGCTGGCTCAATGTCCACGCACAAATCCCCAGCCTCCTCATTTATTCGAAATCGCCATGTACATTCGCACCTCGGGATTTACTGCAAGATGTAAGCACACACTTTACCAGCATTTACTGATACCCCAGCCCATGCCAAGACCGGTGCCGTCACATTTTCTACAGTGTTTTTGTCTCAACGTCATTATCTGTTTCCCTGAGGCTGATAGGACCCAGAAACATTACAACAGGGATTAAGAGAGACACCCACCACCTCTTATCGTGTTTCATCTGATCGAAACTCCGTGTATCAATTGACAGTCAGCAAAAGCGACAACATGAGTTCCTCAGAGAAGCCGGAAAAGTCTTCCTCCCCACCGGCGAAGGACCGCTACTACCCATCGCCATACGGGCCAGAGCAGCCCGGGAACTACCCGCCAATCCCGCCTCCGTCATCTGGCCTGCCTGCATCGGAGCCAGGCGGACGCAATGACGACACCCGCATCAATGGCATCAATACTGTTGATGGTAGCTCACGTCCGCCCTCCTACCGACCGTACGACTCAATGCCGTCATTGCTGCCGCAGAAGCAGCAAGACCAACGGCCGTTTCCGCCGTACATCCCATCCGCGCCGCCCTCCATGGTCGAAATCCCACCACAGCCGACCATGTCCACCGCTGGATCGACGGTTGGCGCACCCGTGGTTGGCGGCGTTGGCGGAGCCCCCGGAATTAGTGGTCCACCAGGCGGGGGCTACGGTGGCGGCCCGCCTTCTAGTGCTGCGCCGGCCTTGACGCAATCTCCAGGTCCCATATATGCCAACGACACTGCGGCCAAGTCCGACATCCGCTCTGCACGGGCGTCTGTTGAAAGCGGCCTGATTCGCCTCATGGAGCTGCAGGGCCAACAACGCCAGCACCTGCAATATGGACCTGGTGCCGCCAACGTTCCGAACAGCACGGCTGCTGCTGTGCAGGATCAGCTTCGCCTCCAGACTGGTTCGGTGCTGCGGGACTTGCGCCAGGTGCGGCGTGCCCTGTATGGCAAAGCCAAAGCAGCCGAGAACCACCGCTTCCGTCGCTGGTTGGTTGGTGGATTGCTGGCCACGTTCATCCCTCTTGTGCGGCGGCTGTTCCGCCGCCGTGGTGGCAACGACAGTAGCAGCAGCACCACGTCGGCCCCGATTCTCACGGCCAATGACACCGAGTACGCCTTTGTCCGCAGCCGGTCGCTGGTAGACCGCATGCTCAGCTCCGTGAGCCGCCGCGGCGGCTTAGCCTCAATCGCCTTTTTTGTCTTTGCAGTGCTCTACATTTTCAGCAACGAAGTTTCACTGCGCGTGGCCCGCACAGTCGGCCGCCGGCTCAAGCGGCTCAGTTCCAAGATTGAGCGTGGCGACGAGCCCTTGAACGAGGCCGATTTGAAGCAGCTCTCGGGCTGGCGTTGGCGCGTTCTTCTTTGGGGTCGCCAGTGATCACGAGTATGAGCTTGTTATGATGACATTCATGTTTTCGCATTTTTTGGGGGGTCTTGGAACTTTTTGGGGAAGGTTTGCCTCTATGATTAATGATACTTCTGATTTTGACATATCTTGCCAAATTTGATCTTGGTCCTTTACCACGCGGCTCAACCACTAATCCTCCTTTGCTTGTTTTTGACTTTCACCTCAGCTACGCAATGACTCGGGCGCCCCCTAGATAGGCTAGGAGTTCCTGACGTCAAACAAAACGAATACCAACACAAAAGTGACGACTTAGCAGCGACGGCGAGGCCGGCAGTTGCTCGGCTACGAAAACGATTTATGGCCACAAAAGACATCAGAAAATGTTAAGTCGAACCGGATAGCATATCCGAGGAGACCCTCAACAGATACACTACCATTCCGGATTTGTTCCGTTTAGAATTCACCCCATCACGACGTACGCCACTGACATACATGGCAGCCCCCGATGTGTGTCAGAAAAACCTCTTGTCGTTTGAAGTCTACGAATTGTTTCGTTTCTTCTGTGCGCTGTGGAGAATTGTGCTCTCTACTTTTTGCGTGGCTATTGCCATCACCGGGTAAAGGTACTGCTCCTGTTTCGTGGACAAGGCAAGATTTGTTTCCATTTCCCCTTTGAGCAATATCTGCCAAACACTTACACGGCCCTCTGCCCTTACAATTCTGTTTACCCGGCGGCCTCCTTCCAGCACACCCAGGTCTGTTTCCCTTCTAGGACTCGGTTCCAGGTAGACGAATATTACCCCAGACGAGACACTGGCACGATATGGAAGACTCTTCGTCCCGGAGTTCGCCTTGGAAGTAGCAGAGCCGCGGCGCACTGGCGATATGGATCCAGGGCGCGCAATCACAAGACATTGCTCACAATTGTACCCGACATGGTCCTTTTTGGTAGAATCCGTCTCCATACCGAAGAGCACACGGCGACTATTCAAACACGATTGAAACGACTCTGGCCGTGCTATCTTGTCAAGGAGGCCGGGATGGAAATACTTCTATTGCCGAATTGCCATGAAGAGCCACCGTCCAATCTTCTGAAGCGGCGACAGGAAGACGCACAGATGCAGAAGAAGAAACATGCCACGCAAAAGTTGACTCTTGAGTAGGGGTTAAGGGGAAGATGGAGGCATACCTGGGTGGCTGGGACGATGGACAGAAGTTGCGAGTGATCACCGATATACGATCTTTGCTTTCCGATGATGCGCTCGTCATGGACCGGACTCGAGTATATATGTCAGGATGCCCGCGTCGACCGGTACTTAACTATCGTGCCTCTCTCCGATTATTTTCTTCATGCTCAGTTCACCCTCTTGAATCTTTCCTAGTCATTCCTTTCTTACCGGCCCTTTGCCCTTTTGTTTCTTACGCTCCCTTCTACATACCCAATATTTATCAAGTGTCTTGGCGATATCACACTTTATAATTCAGTTTACACCCTACATTGCTGGTCAATATTTCTACCACATCCCCACATTGCCCTTTCCTTATCCCTTGAACAATATGAAGGCACTCTCTATTTTGGGCTTTGCGGCTATTGCCCGGGCCGTTGACCCTCTCGTCACCCTCAACTACACACAACTGCAGGGCTCCGCTATCGAGTCCTCTGGAGTGACGCAGTGGCTCGGTGTGCGCTATGCTGCGGCGCCGGTGGGCGATCTACGGTTCGCCGCACCCATCAACCCGCCGACGACTACGGATGTGCAGGACGCCACGCAGTTCCAAGCCGTCTGTCTGCCGCGCAACCCGTCAGACTTTACGATGCATAGCAAGCGGTTCAATGTCTCCGAGGACTGCCTGTTTGCCAACATCTTTGCGCCGTCCAACGCCACAAACACCAGTGCCTTGCCCGTTCTCTTCTTCATCCAGGGTGGTGGGTTCTCGTCCAATTCCAATGCCAACTTCAATGGCAGTGATCTGGCCGCCTTTGGCAACATCGTCGTGGTCCAGATTAATTACCGCGTGGGACCCTACGGCTTCCTGCAGAGCCGTGAGGTGCAGAACAATGGCAGTCTCAACAATGGCCTCAAGGACCAGATCCAGGGTTTGCAGTGGGTTCAGCAGAACATTGCACAGGTACGTAACTGCTTCCCACGTGTTGACATCCGCCTGAAACACAAGCAGACTAACAATGCGACTAGTTTGGCGGTGATCCCAAGCATGTCGTGGCTTCTGGCGACTCCGCTGGTGCCACATCGCTTGGGCTGCTTCTCGCAGCGTGGGATGAGCAAGACCCGCGCTTGATCAAAGGAGCTATTCTGGAGTCACCGTCGGTGGCTACGCTTCGCACTCTGGACCAGGGCCAGGAGCAGTACAACTGTCTACTGCAGGCGACCAACTGCACGCTTGCTGCCAATACACTGAGCTGCCTCCGCGCCGTCAATGCCACCGCGCTACAAACAGAGCAGTGCCAGTTCAACCCACACTTGGACAATGACCTCGTTCGCCGTCCCATGCTGCAGAGCTTCGACGAGGGCCGCTTCCTGCATGTTCCCATCATTGCTGGTACCTGCGCCGACGAGGGCACCAAGAACGTCCCGGCCATGACGAACACGACCGGGCAGGCACTTCGTTTCATTGATAACCGCGTTTTCAATGTGCTTTCCAACGCATCGTTGGCGCTGCTTAACACGACGTACCTGTTGACGAACCGCACGGGCGTCATCGCTGTGGCCAACACGTTTGCGCAGTTCCCCAGCAGTGGGGCCCTTTGGAGGCCGTTGGCCAATGCGGCTGGTGATATCGCTGCTCACTGCATCACCGCGCGGCTGCAGAACGCCATTGCCCGGGAGGGCGTCAAGACGTTCAACTACCGGTTCGCGGTGCGCGACGAAGAGCAGGAGCGCCTCGGTTTCGGTTCCTATCACACGGTCGAGCTGAACGCCGTGTTTGGGCCCAACAACACCGACGGCAACCCGCCCAAGTCGTACCGCGAAGGCCAGAGCAATGCTGCCATTGTGCCCGCGACCATGGCCTACTGGACGTCCTTTATCAAGGCGCTCGACCCCAACGACCTGAAGCTGGCCGGCATGCCCGACTGGACGGCGTGGGCCGGCCCCGAGGGTCGCCAGCGGCTGCGGTTCCAGACCAACGCAACGGGATTGGAGGTGATGCCGGACGACCAAGTGGCCAACTGCGAGATGCTGGAGCCGATGCTGCCAGCGATTGAGACAATTTCAGCGCCCGGTACGGTCGTGAAGCTCAACCCGCGCGGCCAGAAGAACGGCACTTCGTGGGCCCAGACAGCTGGACAGAAGCAGAGGAGCGCCGCGGCGGGCCGGGCTGGTGGTGCTGCAAGCCTTGTGGGGACAGTCGCCGGTCTTGCTGCGGCCGTGGCTGCGCTGGTGATGATCTAAGCGTGCTGTCGCCGTTCGGCAGCCGCGCTGGTTCCGTCACCTTGGAAAGACGAGCTCCATGAGTTCATTTGTAAGAATATGTCTTGATTTCTCGGCGTCTGGCTGTCTTTTCTGTGTCGTTTCTTTTGCGGTTGCCATTCCTGTATTTTTCAGGCTCTGTTTTTTTTTTTTGTAATATCTTCGTCCTTGCTTTTCCTGCTTTTGTACTTTAGTATCCCCCACGCTCGTTTTGTGCCGAGGTGACCTTGGTAATCAACATTTGTCTGTTTTTGGGTTAATATGTTTTAAATGTGTCCTGTGACTCTGATCTGAGCGAGTTTTGTTACCTATATCAGTTTCTATCTGCATTTCTTTGTTGCTTGTCGGCTCGTCTTTTGCTCCCACCGAAAGAGGCAGCCCGACTAGGCCCATAGCCGTTATGTTTCGTGCCATTAATCGGGTTCGTTTCCCTTGCCAAGGATTGACGTTGCAGTTTTCTTTGTTGTTTCTGAGCTTTCTTGCCCCTGGATTGACCCTCTCCGCAACTAACAAAGCCTCGTCGGCAATGTGGACAGACACCCCAGCAAAGCTGAATTTCGGGAAGACCAACAAGCCAATCAGACAGGCCAGTCAGTTCTACTCATGCACGTTTGCCTCTGCCTTGTGGATGCCTAGCTGGTTGACTAACAACAATGGAGCCTAGTTTCATTTCGTCGAACGTTTTAACACTTTCGGGGGCTCAGCCTCAACCTGTTGAGCTTCAATTCTGTGTGAGAGAATGAAAGCTAACACGAAGCTGTCTGATTTCCTCCTCTGGATGCCATTTTGGTGAAAGCGTGGCTGTCAAGCGAAGTGTCAATTCGCCAGATAGCTTCAAGCTTGCTCCCATCAGGGGATGGATTGACTTTGTGCCCCTGGTTCACTTCAGATTCAGCCACAGGGGCTTCTTCACAGCTCACACATGACAGTGACTGAACGTTGAACACGAGGCAAGGCAAGAAAGTCCATTGCCAAGGCACCAGCCCTCGATCATAGTATAAGTTTCCTGCATTTCCCCGCCATCTCTTGACTTTCATTATTTTGTTCTTTTATTCTTTCTTCTTCCTTTTCATCGTCACTTCGTACTTTGAACTATACCCCACCAACAATCACAGTTGCTGTTCGTTTACGGCACTGCCCCATTCTGCCTAATTTCGAGTTTCTGCGATTGACTTGCACTTACACCACCACCACTTCAGCACCACCAAGAACTGCAACACACCAACGACAACGCCACCGCCATGGATATCATCCACAAGCAAGAGTTTCGCGTGCGCGATCTCCCCACCCGGACGGTCACCTTGTTCCCGAGCCGTGCGCAAGTCGTCCGCGACATCAAAGATGTTTCTCTCAAGGTACGTACATGTCAATGAATCTCTCAACCGCAGGCCGTGCGACGCTCACTAACAACCTTAGCCCGGTGCAAACCAAATTACCGTGGTCGGCTTGTCGCCGACGGTCGACGAAAACTCCATCAAGGTCGAGGGCACCGGCTCTGCCATTATTTCGGACATTGCCATTGAGCTGCTGCCCAACCGCGAGATCTTCCAGGACATCTACCCCGAGTCGGACGACGACGACAAGAGCGACACCGAAGAGGAAGAGGACAGCAGCGATGAGGAGGAGGCGGCCGAGCTGAAGGAGGTGCGCAAGAAGCTGCAGGCACTGCGCGACGAGGTCAAGCGCGCGAACGAGGTGGTGGCGAGCGCCGAGAGCCGGCTCAAGTTCCTGGACGCGTACGGCAAGATGCTGGACCGCAAGCGGAACGTGGAGATTGACGCGGGCGTGGAGACGTACCGGGCGGAGCGGGCCAAGGTGTTCGACGACCACATGGCCGGCACGATCCGGGTGCGCGAGCTGAACGAGCAGATCTGGGAGCTGGGCAAGGACGAGGGCAAGCTGCTGCGGATCCAGGCCAAGGCGGTGAACAAGGCGCGGCGGGCGCGCGAAAAGGCCAAGGCGGCCAAGCGCAAAGAAAAACTCAAGGTGCAGCGGCGCAAGGCGGAGGCGCACCGGGAAAAGCTGCGGGTGCAGCGCGAGCGCGAAAAGTACTGGCCGCGCAAGTGCTACACGGTGCGCATCACCCTGGACGCGCCGTCGTACACGCCGTCGTCGTCGCGGCGGACGTCGATAACCAGCGTGACGGAGCTGGCGGCCGCCCCCAAGGACAAGGACCTGGGCGCGGGCGTCGCCGTCGAAGAGGGGGCCGACAAGGGGGCCGACAGTGGCGGCGCGGTGACGACGAGCGGCCCGACGTGCGACCTGTCCATTTCGTACGTGACGTCGTCCGCCTTCTGGTCGCCGACGTATGACTTGCAGCTGTCGACGACCAACAACACGGCGACGCTCTGCTTCGACGCGCAGCTCACCAACACGACGGCGGAGGCGTGGACGGGCTGCAAAGTGATTCTGTCGACGAGCCAGACGACGTTCTCGGGGCTCAACGACACGATCCCGACGCTGCTGCCGTGGCGCGTCAAGCTGCGCCGGGGCTACGGCTACGACGCGGTCCTCCACAGCCGCGAGGAGGTGTCGCACAAACGCGACTGGAAGGAGCAGCAGAACGCGCTGGTCACGAAGCAGAAGCCGCGCGGCGAGCTGTTTGGCGTGTCGTCGTCCGCGGGCACCACACACTACGATGCGTATGCCGGCCCCAAAGCGGGCGGCGGCCGCCCTGGCTGGACCGAGTCGTATAATTACGCCATGCCCCAGCAGCAAATGATGCAGCAGCAGGCGCCGGTGGCGAAGGCGACTGGCGGCGCCCTGTTTGGCAGCGCGGCGCCGGTCGCGTCGTCCTTTGGGGCGACGACCTCGAACACTGGCGCCATCTTTGGAGGTGCGCCCCGGGCAGCGCTGCCACCTCCGGCGCCGGCAGCTCGAATGAAGAAACCGACCCTGGGTTTTGGGGCGTCGAACGATGCGCGCCGGTATAACGACCGAGAAAACGAATTTCAAGAGGACGAAGAAGACGGTGGCTCGAGCGACGGCGCCGGGGAGGGTGCGGCGGCGTACATGGAGGAGATGACGCTGGGCGGCGAGCTGCAGCCGGAGCTCGAGTTCCAGGAGTCGTCGTTTGAGGAGACGGGCATGACGACGACGTACGACCTGCCGGGGCTCAAGACGCTGGCGCCCGGGTCGACGGCGTCGAAGCAGCGGGTGGCGCGGATTGCGTTCCGCGAGGTGGTGTTCAGCCACACGATTGTGGCCAAGTACAAGCCGGTGGCGTACCTCAAGGCCAAGCTCAAGAACGGCAGCAAGCTGACGCTGCTCAAGGGCACGGCGGGGCTGACGCTGGACGGCTCGTTCCTGGGGCGCACGACGCTGCCGCGGTGCAGCGCGGGCGACACGTTCCCGCTGAGCCTGGGCGTGGACCCGGCGATCCGCGTGGCGTACCCCAAGCCGGACGTCAAGCGGGCGACGACGGGCCTCTTCTCCAAAGAGGACAGCAGCGTGTACCGGCGGTCGGTGACGATTTCCAACACGCGGGCGAGCGCGGGCAAGCCGGTGACGCTGCTGGTGCTGGACCAGGTGCCGGTGAGCGAGGACGAGAAGCTGCGGGTGGAGCTGCAGCAGCCGCGCGGCGTGTCGGTGGGCGGCGGGTCCGTGCCGGCGGGTGTCGGCATGGTGACGGCGACGGGGACGGGCACGGAGACGGCGACGGGGACGGCGGCCAAGGACTGGGGCACGGCGTCGGCGACGCTCAAAAAGGCGGGCGAGATTGTGTGGGACGTCAAGCTCAATGCGGGCCGGTCGGTCAAGCTGGACCTCGCGTACGACGTCAGCGCGCCGACGGGCGAGGGCGTGATTCAGTGCTAGGGAGACGCGCCATCCCATCGTGAGGGAGGAGAGGGAGGCGATGTGACGGACGGGGAGAATGACAACGACGACCTGGAGGAAGAGACGCAGGCGAATCGCGGCGGGCATGGCACACTCAGCACAAACACAACGGACAAGACCAACACCGGCAGCTTCAGCAACACCAACAAGGGCGCAGACAGGCAGAGCACAAATGCAAACTCGAACCGCGGCTCGCTCCGGGGTCTGGCCAGCTTGTTTATGGGCATCAGTTCGAAGAAGTAGTGGCACGGCGTTATGAATTTCAAGTACGTAGTCGATAGCAACCAAATTGATGAATGTCAACGAAGCAAGCAAAACAGACTGGATATTTCTATCAATGTGAATATATAAACGTCAAACAGCCATCCGTAATCGTATCAACAAACGGGGGATCAAGAACGATGTCAACAGGGAGATACAGGTATCGTCAAATGTTTTTTACGCAAACTCGTCAGGGGAAACCAAAAAAGAACATCCTCCAGCGCGCTGTCCTCTACTCCTGCCGGCGCACGAGGCTGACGGGCGCCATGTAGCGCTTGTGGCCGTAGGCAAAGTAGTAGACGACGGAGAAGAGCATGGTGCCGACAAAGATGACGACGTTCCAGTTCATGGTGGTGAGGGTGACGTCCTTGGACTGGGGGAAAAAGACAAAGACCCAGACGACGGACAGGTACATGACGGCGCCGACGTTGACGGCCAGGCCGTAGCGGCCGAGCGACCAGCGGCTGGCGGGCAGGGCGGGGCCGCGCAGGCGGCGCAGGATGAGAAAGGTAAAGGAGATGAGGTAGGTGCCGAGCAGGGCGCTGACGGCGAGGGAGCCGATGGCGTTGAAGGCGACGGAGGAGCCGATGTTGATGAGGGACAGGAGGGCGGTGATGGAAAAGGTGAGGAGGACGGCGTTGAGGGGGATGTTCCAGCCGGGCTTGACGTGGGCGATGACGTCGGAGAAGGGCAGGCCGCAGTCGCGGGCAAAGGACCAGGTCTGGCGCGAGACGGTGGCGACGGTGCTGATGCAGGCGGAGGTGACGTTGACGATGAGGATGGAGGTCATGACGGCGGTGCCGGCGATGCTGTTGGTGGCGTTGAAGAAGGCGGCGATGAAGGGGTAGCCGGTGGGGGTGTCGACAATGTCGAGGACGCCGCCCATGGTGAAGCAGAAGGTGATGAGCATGACCCAGCCCATGGAGCCGTTGATGGTGGCCGCCCACATGATGGCGCGCGGCAGCACGCGCGACGCGTCGCGCACCTCCTCGGACATGTGCACGGTGGAGTCGGCGCCGATGAGCGTGTAGACGGGCGACAGCAGGCCGACCATAAAGGCGAGGCCGGTCGTATCCCAGCCGCCGAGGTTGCCAAAGGTGCCAAAGACGTCGGCGGGCGTCGAGCGCGGCGCCAGCACCCAGAGCGGCACCAGGACGGCAAAGAAGCCCAGCACGTGGACGACCAGCACGGTGCCCTCGACAATGGGCAGGCGGCCGGCCAGAAAGGTGTTGAAGACGATGCAGAAGGCGGTGATGCCGATGACGAGCAGGGTGCCGTGCCAGTTCTCAAAGGCGTACGTCGGCTGGGCCAGGACCAGCAGGCCCTGGATCATGGTGCCGGCCAGAAAGGCCAGCGAGGCCAGGCCGGTCTGCCAGCCGAGCACGGAGACCCAGCCGATGGTGTAGCTGAAGAACTTTTGGGCGCGCGGCGGGGCAAACTCCGAGACCCAGTGGTACTGGCCGCCGGACGTGGGCGCCATGGAGGCCATCTCGGCGATGGAAGCAAACACGAGCATGTAGCCGACCCAGACTATCAGGTAGCCCCAGACGAGGCCGGCCTTGCCGCCGTTGATGAGGCCGAAGCTGGTCGTCATGAGTGCAATCTCCCACGTGCTCATGAGCGTGCAGGCAAAGCCCAGCGTCGAGAGGAAGCGGAAGTTGCGCTGTGGAAGGTGAGCAAGACGTAAAGGAAGAAGAGGGAGAGATAAACAGAGTCACGTACGTTAAGAACTTGCGTCCGCCCGAGCATCGACATCTCGCGGGCATCGGCCTCGGTGCCGCCCTTGGCGTCGATCTTGTTCGTCTCGAAGACGGCCCTTTCCGACGACATCTCGACGTACTCCTTGTTGTCTACCCTGTCCGACGACATCTCGATGAACTCCTTGTTGTTGACCCTGTCGGAGGACATCTCAATGAACTCCTTGTTGCTCGTAGTGTCCGACATGGTGAGTGATGAAGAGACGGACGTGCTGCTGTGAATACGTGATGTTGACTTCAGGTACGATGATGAGAATGTGAGAGTAAAAATCAAAGAAAGGATGGGAACGTGGGAAATTGGATGGAAGAAATGACGGGCAAGAGGAAGAAAAACGGAAAAGAGAAAACGTGGGAATGGAGACGATGGAGCAAATGGAGAAATGGACAAGGGAGAGGAAGGAATGGGAGTGGGAAGCAGAGAAGAGAGAAAAACAACAAGGGAGGGGGACAACCAAAGAGACTGAGAGGAGACTGAGGAAGAAGGACTATCAATGCGTATTAATGGAGAAGCAATAAACAGAAAGAGGGTGGAAGGAGTGATGGAAAAAGAAAGAAAGAAAAGGAGTAGTACTCCGTAACGTTCAGTCACAAAAGGTTCTAAAACGTGAGGTGAGGAGACCGAGGAGGCCGCGGAGCGAGAAACGAAAGCAAGGGGAGACGTCCGTCGTAAAGATGGGAGGAGACAGCGTGTGGGCAGGCAAAAGAACCCAAGAGTACATTCGTAGCCCGCTTGATTCAAAAAAGGGATGGAGGCAGGACGGCAGGAAAGGAAGAGATGGCCGGGAACACACTGCCCACGTAGAAAGAAAGTGATAATGGACACTACGACCAAAGAAGAAAACGAAGAAAAGCAACGAGCGACTGCAGCGCTGCAGCGGTCCCGGCAGCGTGGTGGACGGGCCAGACTGAGCAAGGATGCGCGGCAGGACGGCCCAATGCACCCAACCACAGGCAAACTCGTTTTTCTTTCTTCTGGACGAGATGCCCTCTCAGTACACTAGCTTCGTGTCGTACATGATCGTGCTCGTATGCAGGGCGGCGACGAACCGCAGTGAGACATACATCCAGGCATTCCGAGTGCAGTGCGTCCATGCTGTGTCAGAGACACGAGGAGGCAAGGAAGATGGGGCGATCCAGTAAGAACATGGAGGTCTGCAGGGACCAAACGGAGCACAGCAAGCGGATGGAAGACTTGACGACGCAATGTTCCAGCCTTTGTTATCTCCAGTCGACTGTCATGACTGTCGACACATGTGGCCGTCTATTGGCAGAAGTACAATGCAGGAAAGCTTGGCGAAAGACAAAAGGAAAGATAAAAAACAAAAACAACAAAAAGAGTAGTCTGTGCTCCGACTGTGGATTCGCACGGACAACATAAAAGTAGCGTTTCTTCCAGCTCAAGCCTCCCCCCCACTCAAACGATGCAAGTCGACTGGCTAAGCTGTTGTAAGTGGAAGGTGGAGTGGGTACAGGAGCATAAGTACGTCGTACACGTACAAGAGCTGGGTTGTCTGACCAAAACAGCCGTCGGTATCGAGGCCATGTCTATTTCTTGTTTCTTATTTCTATTTTATTCTTTTTTTCTTTGTCTTTTCCTCCCACCCACCCCTCTACCCTTCTTTGGTATCATCCGGCAGACAAGCCGGCACCTCCACTGGGAAAAGACCTCTGTGCTCCGCATCCAATGCGAGGTTTTATGTCGTACTACCAAAGCCACAAACTTCTGTGCTGTTCCAACGTCTCTGTATGGCTGACATATGCAGCATATTGCATACGTGGGGGACAACTGCAGCATCTTTTTCGTGACCATGGGCGCAGCTGCAGGATGTCTATTCCATCACAGAAAACCGACATGGAGGTATGCGATGATAATTGCCTCGTTTGGACCAAGTGGCTTTTTATTTTCCTTTTGTTTTAAAACGCTTTCCCAATTCACAAACGACAAAGTACTTCCCGACTGACCCCTGGGCATTGCAGCACACTATCGCTTTTCTGTCTGGCTCGTCCACCTCAGTCGATACTTGAGCTAGTCTCGAGCTGAAGCCCAAGACTGACCCGCGGCCCTGGAAAGGCTTCCGACTACCAAGTAGAGCCACGGCCAGGATCGACAGGCAACCACCCATGCACAGCTCCATCCAAAGGCCAGCCCCCGATGTGATGGAATCCAACGGATGATAAAAAGGGAATAAAAAGAAATAAAAAGTCCTGAACACACAGACCAGACATGCAAGCAGGGGTCTCAATGTGATGAAAACACTTCAATAAAATTAATGCAGCAGACTGTTACATGGGTCTCCAAAGGAACTCGTCCCGAAAAAGACCAGGTCTTCTCGAATCTGCATACGGCGTTCGACATGCTCCCTGAGGTGCATGTTGCATTCACGCGAATGTCTGTCCGGATGTCTGGCCATAGCTTCCTCTCTACGGTGGCCATTGGTTTGCCTCTTGTCAACCTCCTGGCCCTTGCATCCGCCCCCCTCTCGCTTGTCTCAGTCCAGACGACAGATTGAGGCGAAGCTACGGCTTTGGAGGTTGACGCCTCCAATTCAAGGTGAGACGTACAAAAGGGTTCGAAAAAGGCACAGATGCAAGCCCAGAACCAAGAGGATCATCCAAGACACTACGAGAAAAGGTTAACAGCGGGACCTGCGCTAAGAGGGACATGGGAGATGTCTTGGTTTCCGCTCCCTTACGGGTGGTCTACTGGCCGTTGATCTTTTCCTGGTTGGGCCTCGCGCAGAAACAAAAAATTAAGAAAAGGCAAAAATCAGTGAGCGCGCAGGGAACCAAAAATCCCTTGCGCTGCAAGCCGCTTGTTAACTTCCTGGCTTCACTCGAGCTTTGTTCCCCTTTTATTTTCCAGTTGCATCCCACGCAGATCCACATCAGCTCGCAAGGGGGTCATCAAAGACGGAAGACGGGGACCGGACCAAGTCCAATGAACTCCAACGAGCACGTCCCCTCTTTCGGCTGTCGAGGGTCAGCTCTGGCTGTGCTGGCTACCCTTGCTGCCCTAGTTCCTGGGCCTCGGAAGACGAACCGAACGGCCTTTGCCACCAAATGTGAGAGCTGACAGGACGCTATGGAGCAACCTCGGACGCTCGGCCGATAAAATGCGACTGTCGTACTCGATTGAGGGATGCGCATTTCCAGATCGATCATGACCGAGAAACGACAACAGAGGAATACTCCGTGCGCCGTACAACCTTGAAATACGACGCATCGTTCGTCAATATGGGGAAAGGCTGATGAGAGAGGTTTGGGAAGAAAAAGAAAAGAAAAAGAAGAAAACCAAAACACTGTCGCAAATATTGTCTGAAGTGATAAAGTCTGAGGTCGGCCTCCCTGTCCTGCAAGGAGACAATGTAAACACCACTGCCGTGCATTTGCTCGACGCCAAAGACTCAACGCCCGTATGAATCAACGAGAGCCATTTTGCAGCCGTTTTCAAAAATGTCTTTCGGATTTGAGACACGTCAAAGCCGCTGCCAGTCGCCGACGGTTGGAATGAACGCGCAACATGGCAGACGTACAGAATAGACAGGGGACGTCTAGACCACTTCGCAGTTTGCATGTTACGAAGAGCTGGGCTTGTTTGTGGAACGGTTGCGAGAGTGGGAGGGCAGGGAAAAGGAGACAACAGAATCAAGTGGAGAAAATATTCATTGTTTCTTGCCCAACAAAGAATTTACGCTTAGTCACCTGATTCACGACCACCTTCATATATGCAAATAAGCGATCGTTGCATCAATCAAGAACGAGAAAGTCTAAAACGCCCGGTTAGCTCAATCGGTAGAGCGTGAGACTCTTAATCTCAAGGTTGCGGGTTCGACCCCCGCATCGGGCTCAAATCCTGATGCGCTTCTTATACAGAAGCACCGCTTTCGAATTCGCTATGTTTTTTTTTTTTTTTTTTTTTGTATTGTTGTGATAAAACTATGAGGTTGCTGTAGATGTTTTTCTGTTTTAATATATATATGTATATATACAGTACTATAATACTGAACGAGACTGGAAGTACCTCGAGTTGGTCCTTCCTCTTTAAACCGCCACGACAGTGACCGAAAGACCGATGGAAGAGAGTCGGATCATTCCGTCACATCTCATTTTCAGACTCAGCCCCAATTCCTATTGTCCTTTCGAACAGTTCCAGTGGTACCCAAACTTCTTAGCACAAGTCCTCGGGACAATGCAAAAAGCAAACCTTTTCAACAAACCTTCTCTGCGACTTGTGCAGGGGCCGTTTGCTTTTCGGAGAATACCCAACTGGACGGTCCTCTTTCTTTTTCTTTTATGTCGCTTCTTTTTTCTTTTCTTTTGTTGACCTTCCAGTAAGTGTCACAATGCTGACATGCCAAACACCCACCTCGTCCTGTCAGGTTTCCTCCACCGTGCTCCTCTTGTCACTTTCCACGCTGTTAGCTGACAGGTTACCCGTAACGTCCCCGACGCAAGGGAGATCGGCGCTGTTCGAGGCAAGGGACACGGAGCCAACTACGACGCCGCCCCTACGACGCCATCCAGCTGTGTGGGTCATCACTCTCTTTGGGATTCTGGGGCTCACTGCTCCTCGTTCTCTGCCTGCTTTCGTCCTCTGTTTCTTGCTCTCTCGCTCGGAGTCGCCCGCTATTGGGCGAAGCCTGCCGTCATGTTTAGAGACATTGTCTCGTTCTCCACACACGACAGATGTACTTGACTCTTGTTTTTCTTTCCAGTTTCTCTCTCTTCTTCCAGGTTCGTTCTTACCCCTTGCTCGCGTCCTGCATACACCTACTTGGCATCAAAGCCGGACCTGAGAGGTATCGCGAGCAATTGGTCATTGTTTGTTTCCGCCACCTTTGGCTCCGGGAGTTGCCATTATTGACTGATGACATCCTTGGCTTGTGATTGGAATTTCTTTTCAGCTGCAGCTGGACTTTCGTTTTCTCTTCCTCTAACCGAGATGGTAAACAACCCTGTTTATCTCATATCACAAAAAGAACCCCACAGCTCAATCTGACCACATCCCCTGGCCGCCCACAACTTGACCGATGGGAAGCATCTCACCCTTGTGGGCATACATGTAGTTTCGTGACAAGGGCCTGTCCCTGTCCCCAAAAAGATCCCTTGCGCACTCCCGCGTAGCGCTACGACAAACTCGTAGTAGCGCCACTACGACCCTCCACGTTGCACCCACCAAACGGACGTCAGGTCTCCCGACTGCGCTTCTTCCTCATCCTGCGAGGTCGGGGCGTGTCTCGTACTTGTGCGAGTGGCTTTTGAACTCTACTTTGTACATTTTGCGAGGAAATTATGTGCTCGATAGTCGTGCTTGTGTTCGCCAACCTCCACGTGCATCTCTGGATTGGTAATGTTCTGTGGACAAACTCGGCCGAGAGAGGCACCCTGGCATATTGATATTCCAAGATCAAACCCATTTTCATTCAGCAGTGGTCTTTGACATACCTTACAAAGTACAACATAGAGTTGAGAGCACTTTTTCTTATGAAATCCAATGATGACGAAGGGCATTGACGCGGCTGTTTGCCATGTTGTTGTGATGCCAACGAGGATGAGGTCACTTGGAAGACACAACCCAGAAGAAGAAGAAAAAAACGACAAAGCAATATGGCAATTTAGAGAATCACCAATTAGACGCCAAAAGCAAGCAAAAGTACCCGAACGAAGCCAGGCGAAGCCAAGGCACAGAGATGTCTCACTCCACAATGCTGATCCCCTCAGCCGAACAAAGGAAGACGCATCTCCTGCTCTGGCTTTCTTCTTTTCAATTGTTTGTTTCCAAGCGCTGCTTGGCTTTACGATGCAAGAATAAGAAATGCGATCTCATGTCGTATGCATCGGGTACTTGGGTACGGAGTACGACCATACAGGTGCCGATTGATACTGTTGGGGACATTGAGGAGGTGACAGGTCCAACACAACCGGTTCTTTTTCGTTTTTTATCCGCCCTACCTCCTAAACAAAACGGTCGTTCTACTTTCTGGCTCTCGTGTCTCACTTACTTGGCCGTGGCGTTGGCTCGTCTTTCCAATCTCCCTGCAGTTGCCCACAGACAAATCAGTTTTTCTACCATTGCGCCGTGTCTGCTTTCATTTGTACTTTGTTTTTCTACGTCCCGTACCTTGTACACCCTCGTGGGCCATGCGCTGCTTCGGCTACCCCTTACATTGGTATCTTTGTATTTCTCTCTTTCTTGTCACCTCCTCTTATTGATTTCCCCTTTGCCTCTTTACGCTCCTTCTCCCACAAAGCAGTGCGACATGTCACTCGTGATGTGATCTACCCCAAAACTTGCCACTTCTGTCTGTCTCTCCGTGTCTCTCCGCAGCTGTAGTTTGTCTTGATTATGCTATTGTGTTCATGCTTTTCTGAGAGCACCATAGTTTTGTACCTAACGCAGCCATTCAGCGACGAAGCAATGTGATCTGAGTGCAGATCATCCGCTTTCTAGGTGTGGATTTTTTTTCGTCACGTCCATACTTCTATTGCCATATAATCGCTTTCAGCTCAACATCTCACCTCACCCAGAGCCAGGGATGCTCTCGACTTGTTTTTCTTTGTTATTTTGGTTTGTCTGGGAGCCATGATCGACGCTTAGCACGCACCTTCGCTTTGTTGGGGCTGGAAAACCCCGTCCTCCGTAAACCATACTGGGAAATTCGCCGTGTTCTTGTTTTGCTCTTCCATCACATCCAGCAGCCCCTTTCGAGAGGCCTTTTGCGGTAGAAATTGGCCACTGTGCCACCCATTCATCTCACCCCTTGTCTGTGGCTTCTTGTGCCTGGCCCCTTGCGACCGACGCTCTCTCTTCTTGTAAGAGGCGTCACAGCCCACAGCCCTCTGCCTCTTTCGCGACGGATCCCTGGGCCTAGTTCCGAAGTACACCACACCTCCTTTGATTTTTGTACCTTACACGGTTGTCGGAGTTATCGTCCAGACCATCACCGAGAGTCGAATGAGTGCCAGCTTCTGCATGTCTCATGTCGACCAGCGAGCCGTCTAGATATCTCTTGGCGTTCTGTTCTTGGCCTTCCCTTTTACTCTATTGCTCTCTGTCTCTTCCGTTCTACTTTCCTCTTGTCATCCACTATATACAACCCGTCGAGATCGTCGGTCGTCGAGTCTAACGTCCTCGTGTTGGTCACATCTTACACGGCTAGCCGGTCGAACCGTCAGTCTGTCAACCTGTCAATCTTTTTCCTTCTTCCTTCACAGGCCTCCCCGTCGTCTCTTCCCGCTTCCTTTGTCTCTCGCCTGGATCCATTCCGACGATCACTACAGACGGGAGAGCAACAACTCGCAGGACGCTGAACGGGGAAGTAATAGATCTGGCTATAGCCGTGCCTCTATCTTATTTCCACTCTTCCTTCGTTTTTCATGCCATTTCTTTTTGCTTTGTGCCCCATCAGAGCTCTCCCAGTGTCCACCCCGATTTCAATACGTCCAAGAGCTTCTTTCTTCCATTTTCCATGCAGGCGATACATACATACATCACATCCTCTCGTCGGTTTGGGCTTTTTCCTCTTCGTTGATCGACCCTGCCGTGCGGTTTGCCGTCTCTTTTTTATCTCTCCCTTGAGCAAACGCACTCTCGTTTATCTTCGGACATACTTTTCATCGCCCGCCTCTGTCCTCCTCGTGACATTCTCTTGATCTTTATAACAACTCGCACCCCCGACTCTCGTCCTTCTTCATATCTCTCCGCCCGCCTGTGTTGATCCCTGGTCGATCTCCTGTTCTCTCGTCTCTTGTGTTTATGTCTGGTCGTTGACATCTCGACTTGCAATACCCGACTCAAAACACAATCGATCAAGACCATGGCCGACAACTCAACCGTCTTGCCGCCGCTCAAGGCCGTCACCGACACCGACCAGGGCGGCATCCTCGCCATCGCGGCCAGTCTCGGTCTGGTCTTTGGCGTCATCTCGCTGCTCATCCGCACCTATGTCCGCATCGAGTGCCGCGCTGCCTTTGGCAAGGACGACTACGCCGCCTTTCTGAGTATGGTCGTCGCCCTGATACAAGGCGTCTTGGTCTTCTTGGCCATTTCCAACGGCTTTGGCAAAGTCGTTGCCGACCTCACGTCCGACGCCATCCTCGCCTGGCAGCGCGACCTGTACATTAGCGACATTTTCTTTCTCGTCGGCATGTGGCTGACCAAGAGCTCCATTGCCCTGCTGCTGATGCGCCTCTCCCGCGACCCGTCGCACAGCGTCATGGCACGCATCCTGCTCGTCGCCTCGGCCGTCTACTTTGTCGTCTCCATTTTTGTCGTCGCCATCCGCTGCGACCTCAGCCAGCCCTGGAACGACGCGGTCCCCGGCTGTTCTGCGACCACGGTACGTACTTGGCCCTCGTTTGTCTTTTGTCTTTTGTGTCCTCGCGTCGCTCGGACTTGTTGTCACTAACCACCACCAGTACGCCCGCTGGGCTGCCGTCACCGTCATGGACGTCCTCGTCGAAATCGCCCTCTTTATCGGCGGTGTCTGGCTCGTCCGCGACCTGCAGCTGCCGTGGAGCAAAAAGTCGGTCGTCGTCGTCGCCTACGGCCTCCGCCTGCCCGTCATCCTCGCCGCCGCCGTCCGCCTCTACTACCTGCGCCAGTCCCTCTACAGCAACGACGAGTCCCTGCACGGCATCCTGGCCTACGTCTGCACCCAGACCGAGCTCGCCTACGCCGTCATCGCCACCACCATGCCCTGCCTCAAGCCGTTTATGAGCGCCCTCAACACGGGCTACGGCGGCGGCGGCACCTTTGTGCTCACCACCACGTCCCCCAACGCGTCGAACCTGCAGCGCAGCCGCGACACGACGGGCGGCCATTCGACGTACGGCAAAGCCAAGGCGGCCGCCGTGGCCGTCATGAGCGGCGGCGTTGGCGGTGGCAACGGCAGCAGCAACGGCGGCGCCGGCGCTGGGAGCCGCAGTGCGTCCAAGGTGCGCGACTCGACGGAGTCACAGACGCGCATCCTCAGTGGCAACGACAACAAGAATGGCGGCAACGGCACCGACAGCGAAAGCGGCCACCTGTCGCGACCGGCGACCAACAACTCGGAGCCGCCGCAGGCCATGCCCAAGCTGGCGCCGTCCCAGACCCAGTACGTCCCCACACAAGTGCCGTCCAAGGCGTCTGCCTTTGCCTCCTTCAAGACCACCAAGGCCGCCAGCTCCACCGCCACGGCAACCAAGAGTCCCTTTGGCGGACGGTCGCGGATGAGTGCAGTGGCCCCCGAGTATGTGGTTGTCACGACAGACACGACCGTGCAGGAAGAACGAACGGACAATGCCGCGCGGCAGTCGACGCAGCCCGCAGAGCCGGCAGAGCCCATCGCACCCGTGTCGCCGATATATGCACAGTACTCTCGTGGTGGTGGGCAACCACGGATTGGGCATGCCGAGTAGGCTAAATGGCATGGCCGCGTCACGAAAGGAATAAATGGGCAATGGGAGTCTTGGGAGTTCGTCGTCTGTTATGCTTTTTCTTTCTTTTCTTTCTTTCATCTTGTTTACTTTCGCCTCATCAGTCTTTCTCTTGGGTTAACGCGGTACTGAAAATCACATCAGTTACATGGATTTGGACGGAACAACAGGATACCAGATACACTCACTCGCTTGTGTAGCTTCGCTCTTTGCACTTCTTTCACTTTTGACTCGGTTGTCTTTCGGATGCGTCGAACCAATAATCAAAAGCAATTTTGAATAATGCCAGCGTACGCCAGTGTCTCTTGCCAATATATGCACTTCTAACTGGGTTTCTTCATGTCCGTGGGAATCGTCTTCTTCTCGTCCTTGTTCTGCCTATCCTGCTTGCCCTGGTTCTCCTTGTCCTTGGCCTCGGCGGGATTGTAGTTTTCAGCCAGCGTGACGTCAAAGTACAAGCTGAAAAGCTCCGGCACCGTGTATTCCAGGTCGACCTTCTCTTTCTTGAGCACTGTCGATATGCGGTACCAGCAGCTGCGCCACTTGCCCGTGCGCGCATTGCGCTCGCCGACATCAACCATGACATAGTCCGGCAGCTTCGTCAGGTGGGGGCAGAGGACGTCCAGGTCGGGCCACATGAAGCTGTTGTTGGGTGCCCGCCGCACCATGATCATCTCCGTCTCCCGCGGGTAGTCTTCTTCCAAAAAGACGACAAACTCCGGGTCGCGTTGGTGGTGGCGGTACTGGCAGAGCACGACAAAGCTGATGCGCCTCGTTATCGGAATGGCGTCGGGTGTGTCGGGAACCTTGATGTGGATGTTGCGCAGCGTGGCGGAACACTTGATGGCCAAGACCATGTCGTAGCGTGTCCACGCATATGCTTTGGGCCTCACAAATAGGCGGTCCTGCACATCCCACAAGTGCGTCGGCGCTGTTTCCTTGACGATAACGTACTCGTTGCCGTGCCCCATGAGTGGAACATGAATGGACGACTGGCGGAATGTCTCTGCCGTGATCGTGTTAGCGGACCGCTTGTCGATCAGGATATACCAGTCCGTTACGAGAAAGCCTCGCAGGAATTGCACATCGTCCTGCTTCAAGACGGCCATGTCGGCCTCCCAGTCGCGCTGAAAGATGTTTGGCCCGACCTTGATCAGGTACATGCCGACGAAGTTGCCGAATTGGCTTCCAAGCAGCAACAAATAATGGTTTGTAGCCGGTGACTGGCCGGGGACGGCTTGTTTGGTCACGAGTCGCAAATACACCGACCCAGACACGAACAGACCACGGTTTGTCACTGAAAAGTTTTCAAAATCGTCGGCAAAGGGATGCAAGCTCGCATATTCCGCAAACGGTGCTGGTGAGGGTGCAAAGAGGCACAGTTCAGGCCGGCCGCGCCGCTGGTTGGTTGCGCCATCCGCCACGGTCGAGGACGCTGCCACGGACACAGCCGAGGTGTTCGGACTCGAGAGGACTTTCCCAAGAGGTGCCGAAGTCGGGGTGGACAGTGGGGTCGATACAGGTGTGGAGGCTCTCGATCCTTTCGAGGGCGAGGGAGACGGGGAGACCGAACGACGCTTTGTCTCGATGGGGTTGGGGAGGGCCGGTGAGGTGACGCGCGAGTGAGCCGGCGAGGCGACGCCGGGCGCGTCTTTTGGATGGAACACGGCGGTGGATTCAACGGTGACCGGCACGGGCTTGACCGCGGATCGATGCGGACGGGTGCCCTCGTCTTGGCTAACTTGGATGGCCGGCACCGTGGCCAGCGGCGAGCGCCACGCAAAGATGGTCAGATCGCTGTTTTTCTTGACAATCTCCTCTTGCAAGCGGCGGAAGGCCTTGGCGCCCTCGCCGTATGCCAGTGGCATGTTGATGTCACAGATACCCAGCAGACAGTATGCCGTGTCCTCAATACGCGTCGTCTCGCGTGTCGCCGCCCACGACATGCGGCGTGCAAGAGAGTAGCCGGTGGGGTGCGCCTGGCCCAGCAGGATCCGCTGCGGGATGTTGGTGCGCTTGAAGATGCGGTCGACGTGCGCTGTTCTGGTGCCCCGGAAGGACCAGTCTGCGTCATAAAACTCAAGGCGGCGCGGCGCAACGAGCTCTTGCAGGGTCCAGCCGCGCGTGAACCAGCGGCAATGTGCCATGTCCCTGTCGGGTCTGTCGCCAGGCAGGTCGTCCAGCCAGGCGAGGCAGACCTCCGAATCGCGGTACCACTGGTACATGGAGTTGATGGACTCAGTCAGGTCGGCGCTGCTCGACTTGTCGATGCAGCAAGTGTCGATCCAGATGTACTTGTGCTTGAGCGTGCGGGCCAGCTGGGCGGCGCGCACAATCTTCTTGAAGCCGCGCCGGGAGGACTTGGTTTTGGCTGAGGCCGAACTGACGGCCATGAAGTCGACCAGCGACACCTCCTCAGCGCCCCATGTGTGCGATAGGATCGAGTAGGGCGGGATCTTTGGCGGGGAGAACTCCTCCATCTCGAGCGTGGACGTCTCGATGAGACGCATAGTGGCGGTTGTCCAAGTACTGGTTAAGACTGGGCAGCAGATGATGATGGGTCTTGAGTTTCGGTCGGTAGAAAGGGGGGGCAGTCGTAAATTATTGCCGGTGCAGCCGTTGCCCTCTTGCTCCTTCCTGGTTCTGTTTGAATGCCGGGTCGCGACTTCTCTTACTTGCTTCGCTCCTGCCTGAGTCTGCCGTCTCGCAGTTGCACCAAATCTGCACCATGAGCTAATAGGCTCCACCGGCCCAGGGTGCGCTCATGAGCCGCATTCAGCCTCTCATTTGCGAGGCTGTATCGGCCCTCCAAATGCACCTAGAAAGAAGTCAGCGGGGCAGTGCTTTGCAAAGTGGACTTTGGACAGCCAGGCGTCTGTCGTGAAGGATCGCGGGGATTGCATTGTTGAACTACTGGGGGAATGAGTTTTTTTTTTTAAAAAAAAAAATACAAGATGAAACAAAATTGGTACGTGGACCTGAATGACAGAACCTGCAAAAGCGCATGGCAAAATAAAGGAATGAAAATGCTTCTGCATAATTAAGGTGCCACTGTTTTGCGTTAACAATGAAACGAATATAAATATAAATAAAATTGGAGTAAATATAAAAGTAGAAGGAAAAATAAACATGAAAATAAAAATAAAATAAAAACCACAATCAACAGTGCACGAACAAACAGCAAGATCAAACTAAATTGACGTCAGCCACCAGAGACAAACCGATCTATCGTCCACTGCTTGTCTTTACCCCGAGCAGCCCGAGATCGATGTCAACCGACCTGGGCACGACACCTGTTTGTAGTCGACGTTCCAGCCGTTGAGGTCGCCTTTGGCCCAGTTGAACCGCCAGTAGCAGCCGCCTTGCAGATTGTTGGGCAGACTGGCACAGGCCGCGCGGTCGCTGACGCCGCCGTTCTGCTGGCCCCAACTCGTGCCGTACTGGTTGCGGCAGCCGGCCGTGTTCGGCCCCACGCCGCCGCCGGGCGTCAGCACCACAATGTCGTTGTTGCCCACGGACCCGCTCGGCGCGCCGACGTTGATGGCCTGCACAATCATTTGCTTGCCGGCGGCCTGGCCGGACGTCCATGTGAGCTGGTAGCACTTGCAGCAGTCCCCGCTGGACATCATGACGGCGAAGCCGTACGAAAGTGTGTCGGAGACGGGGACGGGCAAATAGGAGTCACAGAGGTAACCCGTGCCGCCGCTGTCGCAACCGGACTTGGCCTGTGGCCCGTTGGTGAGAAGGTTGTTGTTGATGTCACAGACATGGGCGGTGCCAGAGGTTCCTTTCGGAACGCTGGCCGTCCAAGCACAAGCAGGTTTGCAGCTAAAGGAGTTAGCCACTGGTGACTGTCTGTGCTGCCTAGTATAATTCGGGGGTGTCATACCAATCCCATCCTGTGAACGTCTTTCCGGAGATGGCAGACACGACTGGAAGGAGCGTACAGCCAAGGACAACAAGTTTCGAAGGCGTAAACATATTGTTGCTTGTTTAGGAAAAGACCTTACTTACCACGATGGAAGTAACGCATCCATTTATGAGAGACAAGGGACGGATGGTGGATAGATATATAGGATGGATCTTATCATCTAATTGCCACCAGGAACCGGACGAGAGACATGCACCTGGTTGACAAAACCTTGCCGGCCCATTTTGGCTCACTGGGAGCCTGGCTCACTTGGAGCCGTCCAGACGTCGATTCTGGCTCCGCCCTGCCCTTCTTACTACTCATTTCTGCTACTCTTTAGACCTTTTCTTCTCTTTTCCATGGAGCCCTGATACTGTCGGTGTATTTTTAGAGCCACGGACTGATGACAATGTACTCGGAAATGCATACGTTCCAACATGTCACGATGCATGTTTGTATCGGCACAGAGGACGTTCTGGCCGAGTCGGTGACGCAGGACAATCCAAGTGTAATTAATACCATGAGAGCGGGCAACTCCTATTGTCGTCGGACTTCCTACCTTGCCTCTACCGCCCGTGTCCGGGACCTGTGCCACCATCCTGATCGCCTTATTGGCTTACAATGTTTATCTCAGGGGGTTTCCATAGACATTGTATGTCTACGGAAGAACCCGTCTGATGACAATCTGCCAGATGGCAGTGGTTACGAATAATCTGACACTGGTGATCTTCCCTAGTCGTTTTTGTTAACCGCAGCCTACACTTGTTGGTACTCATTTCAATTTGACTTGACAAGCTCGTTTGCTGTCGAAAGTTTGCCCCATCTATCACCCGTATGATCATGATCACCACGTCAACACATATTCAAGGACCCGGAAACTAACAAGGGCGAATTTAGAGGCCAACATGGCAGGCATGGTTAATTTACTGGGAGCAAGTAGAACCTGGATGTCGGCTTAAAAGTACGATGTGCCTAAACCCAGGACTAACCGAATCCAGGGTTGGGGCCAAGATTCTCGAGACAGTTACTTCGGCTATGCTTGCGGGACAAAGTAGTGATGGTTCGATATGATGTGATAAATGAGAAGGTGTCTCGGCATGGAAAACAATAAAGCACCCGCTGAAGGTTGGAAAGTTGTCTGCGGCCGGCGAATAAGATAGTCAGAAACGGCTGCTTCAAGAAATGTCCCGCGGGTGTGGACGAGCCAATGGTTCTCGCAATATGGCACATCTGCGTACTTTCCGTTGTCCCAGGCCGCGTGTCCGGGTTCGCAGATACATATGGTTCTCTTTGTAGTCTATTGTATCAACCTGACTGGCACAGTATTCTCGCTTAAATTATTTTCTACGGATTTTGTGTAAATGGGTGCGTCAATAAGAGGGAGGTCCATTTGAGACATTGGCTCTACCTAATGAATGGGACGGGACGGTTGATGCATAGGGTGAGCAATGTCCGGATAGTACCAATTTGCAAGAAGACATAAACAAACAAGCAGATATCAGCCTTGTTGTTAGTTTTACCATTTTAGCGAAGACACCATCTTTAGCTAGGTTGTAGTTTTCATGCTATTCTTTTTGCACAAATCGTTATGTCACGCAGACAATAAACACGGCGCTATTTATGGTCCCTCCCAACCCGTGCTTTTGGATCCAGGGATCGGCCGCTGTTCTGGCCTCGCGGTTGGTATATCCGGGCAGATTTCGGATTAATTTACGAGTAACCGAGACTGCATCGTTTCAAAAATAGAAAGATAGGACAAACAAAGCAACTCTTTGATGTTTACAGTTTCAACGACTTCATTTCATGAGTGGTGCTAGCGTAAAATATACTTTGTAATCAGGAGAGAGAGCGAGAAAGAGAGAGAGTGAGACACCCGCTTATCTCTTATCTGCGGCCGTGCTCGATGCCCAGCTCCTCACGGCGCGACGTGCTTTGGGGGTCGTAGTAGGGCCGCTCGCCCAGGCCGACAGCGCGGTTGCCAAAGCGGTCACCCTGGCCGCGGATGTCAAAGGTGGCCGTGTGGAAGACGCTGCGGTTGTCCCAAATGGCCAGGTCGTTTTCATTTTGCCACTTGAAGCGGACCTGCAGGTCGTGGTTCTTGTAGACCAGGTCCAAGAACCAGGCCAGCAGCGACTTGCTTTCTTCCTCGGTGACGCCGTTGATGTGACTGACGTGGCCGCCCACGGGGAAGATGCTCTTCCAGCCCGTCACCGGGTTGGTGCGCACAACAGGGTGCACGGCCTTGAGCTCGGAGCCGACGTTCTCGGGGGCACCGCGGGGCTTGTCGTACAGCTTGAAGCCGGAGCGGTCGGCGATCTGGCCAAAGAGGGGTTGTTGGAAGGTGACGCTCAGCGTCTCTAGGAACTGCTGGTAGGGCTTGCTGATGGAGTCGTAGATGTCGTAGCCCGAGGCCCAGAGGGTGTCGCCGCCGGTCTTGGGCAGCTGGACCAGGCGCAGCGAGGTGTAGTCGGCCGGCACGGGCTCGAACGCAATGTCGCTGTGCCAGGATCCGCGCGTCTGCTTCTTGGGGCTTAAGGAAGCCTTACCGGGGGCGTCGCGGTAGTACTGCTCCTGCTGGACGGAGCTGATAGTGCTGATCTGCGGGTCCTCGCCACCGAGGTCGCGCTCCGAGTTGAGGAGGGGGTGGATGTGCAGCGACGACGTGGCCGGGCGGCCGGTGAGCGCGCCGAGGCGCAGGATGACATCCTTTTGCAGGTCGTTGGTGAGATTGGACTGGTTGCGGAAGAAGACGACGCCGCGCTGGGAGATGGTGATGGCAAGGTCGCGCAGGAGGGCGTCGGCGTTGGGGCTCTTGAGCCAGTCGACGAGGTTGGCCTCGGGGAACTCGGTGCCAATGGTGGGTGTAAGATCAATGGATTTGAACTCGTCGAGAGCGCCAGAGAGCTTGAGGGGCTCGCGGTGGGTCCACACGGGTGTGGAAGCAGCGGCAGGAGCGGGTGCCTCCTCGGTAGCGGTCTCGGCAGGAGCAGTCTCGGCAGGAGCAGTCTCGGCAGGAGTAGTCTCGGCAGGAGCAGCTTCGGCAGAGGCAGTCTCGGCAGGAGCCGTATCCGTGGCGGGGGCCGTAGTGGTGGCAAGAGCAGCAGCATCAACTGCAGGCGCGGCCTCAATAGGAGTAGCCTCGGCCGGAGCGACCCCAGCAGCCGGCGCCTCTACGGGAGCCTCAGTGGGAGCTTCAGCAGGAGCCGAAACCTCCTCAGTCACAGGAACAACTTCGGACGTGGCCACCTCCTTGGCCACATCAACGGGCGTCGCGGCAACGGGAAGGTTCTCGACAGCGCCGGGAGCCATGATGGATAAAGTGTGTATGGTAGGATGGGATATTAAAGGGACGTCAAGGCTATCTGTCGGACGTTGACGAAGGTGGATGAAGAATGAGAGACGAAAAGCAGAATATAAAAGTCAAGATAGATGCCTTTGCGTCTACTTTATATCTACATCCAAAGGGAGACTTGGAGGCAGCGAGGTACACACGACGCCATTTGATGTGTTCATCCCACCAACACGAGCATCGTTCCGATCTCCGACAATAGGCTGCAACGCGTACAGTCATACAAGGCACCGATGCGTCTTCGTCTTCTGCAACACGCCTTCTGCAGCCAGTTGCGTGACCCCTCCATTTGGTGTCATATTGATGGAAGCAAGCGCGGATGACACCTTTTCATGAAGATGGAGGGGCAATGGCCGCGAGGGGACGGGAGAGGGAGAAATTGGTTGGATAAGAAGAAAACGAGCGAGATTTTGAGAGTTTGTGAGGGAGATCGTCAACAGTAGGAACGCAAAGAGGGCCGATTGATCCAAAGTGTATGTATTGAGACAATACCCGGCCCTTGAGCTATGGCATGTCGGAGGAGAGATCCATCGTCATTGCCAAAGGCGGATGAAACGGGAAATGCCATTCTCACCAATGGCAGTCGTCTTGTTAACATCGGTCATGTCAAGTTGCAGGTCTGGTCGGTGCCAGTCGTGAAATCCGGGGTCGACGTGTCGTGATCACGTCACTGCAGAAAAAGCCCCAAGACGAACAATACTGCACATTGGCTACTGGCACATGTGAATGAATTGTAGTCTGTGGTGCCTATGCAAATTCATCATATAAGAGGCAACAGCATGGTTGAATACGTCAAGTTTATGTTTTGTGCGGTGAGCAGATCGAAAGGCGTCGGCTTTTGACATATTGTTATCCATCATTTCAATATTTTGTTATACGTTTTAATGTTTGACTTGATTCTTCAACTTTCTCAGTATTTTCTCCTTGTCTCTCTTATTTGATAGTTGTACTAAAGGCACTGCATTTTTACGATGTAGTATCAAGGCCCATATGGTCAATACACAAGAGGTTTTCCTCTGTACTATTTTGCCATTCCGTACCAAATGACATAATTTATCTCGTTGGCTAGCCTGGCTTTGTTTGTGCTGTTATTGGTGTTAGTGTTGCCGCGTGGGGGTTGTTAGAAGCACCGAATCCAAGATCCGAACGGACCCCGTAAACAAGTCGTTTTCTGGGTTCTAGACACCCCGGGGCTGATGCCCAAGAGGCATGACCGATGTCAGTGTAGCATCGTTGGCGACATGGGCCGCTGATGGAGTTCTAATTGGCAGGGGATTGGGCTAAATGGATCGCGAGTGCCACTATGGGGTGGACTGGGGCACTGTTGGTAGGGCAGTTGCGGGCAGTAATTTAGTTGCGTCAGCGGCGCGGGCGATCACGAAAGTCCCGTCACGCAATATCGCACAAGATCGGTGAGCTGGAGTCTGTGCCGTGAGAAAGAGAACGGAAGAGCACTCTCGACAGACATAGAAACAAAGTTGAAAAACATGACAGCGCAAGAAAGAACGTACAATTCCGATCCGGGATTCAATAAATGCCTGATACATCCGGACTCCGCGAATCACGCGGGACGGCGTTGACTGGTTTTCGGGGGCTGTGTGATGCGTCTGGCTGAAAGCACATCCATTCGACTTATTCTGTGTCCTGTCCAGCTTCCGTTTGTCTCACGAGGACTCGCAAATGTATCTCACTACAGCATTGTCAAGACAAAGGGGCTCCCTGGCTGTAGATAAGAAAATTGAAGTGCCTTTGGTCTAAGTGTAAGGCGCTGTGGTCGTGAAGAGTTTAACAATTACCGGAAGAGGAGCCGTAGTATATTTTGCCCGTTGGAAGACTATAATCAGACTCGAGAATACATGTCACGACACATCACGACGCATCACGAGGCCAAAGCCGGTCCAACATCGCGACTGCATTCGATATTGAAGAGGTTGACAATAGACAGGCCCAGACCATTTGCTTCTCGGCCCGCTGCACGACTCGACTGGACTTTAATTTGTTGACGTTCCTTCGTATGACTAGAGCAGTCTCCGTTGCCTGTTCGAGGGCCCGTACCAAGGGACTGGGACCTGTCAATCAATGTACAAAGGCGGAAGAAGACGAACGGGTATCGAAACATGGAATGAGGAAAGGGAGATAAGAGGCTGTTGGTTGCCATGACCTTCACAATGTCGAAGTGCAAAGAACGCCGTCAAAAGACGCCATTGTCAAGACACTGCTGGGTGACGATGGTGAAGGTGTTAACGGTGTGGCTAAACCGCGTAGCTGCGTAAAAGCGGACGAAGAGGCATGGCCCTTGCCAATAGTAGCTCCAGGTGGCTGGTAATAGACTGACTCGGCCGTTGCAAAGGCGGGTCGAGCGGTCTGGCCAGCAGTCTTCCCGCCAGATCGTGTGCCGAGTAGACCTTGTCAAGGCCAATTTTCCAAGCTTGGGTCGTTGGTGGGGTGTCGACCTGGATGTCTTGGTTGTCTTGGTTGTTGTGTTCCATGTGCTGTGTCGTCGACATTTAGCATTGCAATGACGAAAAGCGAGAGGCGTACAGATACAGCACACAGACAGCACGCACAAGGTAACGTGGCGATAACCTTGCAGGAGCAGTGACACAACATCGCTGGCCTGGCCCGCAGCCACTCGTGGACTTTCGGCTGCTTATCAAAACCTCCCCTCCTTTGCCCTGCCAAATGGCTGATCGCCACTCTGTCCGCGAGCTCCCCGAGTTTGCGTGCTGGAAGCCTCGCAAAGTAAATAAAGCACAACGCAGTGATGGCGCAAAACTAGAAGCATTGTCTAATAGAATACGGCTAGGTGGCGGAAAGAAGAAAGAAAAATAAAAAATAAAAAGAGAAAAAGAGAAGAAGAGGAAACGAAACTCAGGCATAAACTGGCCTTTGTAGATAAGACGTGAATGTTGCCTGTTTGCCTGGTTACTTCTGTTTACCTGTCTTCTTCTTCTCACCAGTCGAAGCGTCTTCAACATCTTCCCTATTTTCCATGTGTACGATGTTTAGTATCGACATTTGTGTCTGGTTAATAATTAAATCTTAGTCCCTGTGCTTTTTCTCTCCGTGTTCATATCTTTTTCGTTGTGAGATCCAGTTTACATCACTAGCTTCACGTTATGTTTTAAGGCTCCGCAAACGCCCTTACAGATTTTAGAAGATAAAATGACACTAAGGCCATGCACCAATTAGAACAGCCCTGTCTCTATCTAAAGTGCATCTCGTCACTTTGGCCGAATGTTTCGTGCCTTTGATTTTGCACGAACCACGGTCCTGCCCAGCCAAAAGTAAAGCCATTTTTTGAGCTTTCACCTTTGCACAGTTTTTCCCGGGGTACCTCTTCGGTTGGTTGTCGATGGTCTTTCTAGGGGTTCCATCCGCTGCAAACTGGTGCCAAAATCCACCTATCCACTTACATGCTTTTTATCCCACTCCCACGCAGTACCCGCAGAATCTTGCTCCAGACGACTAGACAGGGCCCATCAACAGGCAAGTCAAGTCAAGGAGAGTCAGCTGAGATCGTCATTACGCCATGCGCAGAATTTTGTGTCCAGCCTACAAGAGCATGGAAAGCACATATTATTTCTGCAATGGGTGTGACCCTGCAGGTCGTTGCCCGGCTTTGCTCGGCTGGCCTCCCGGACAGATAAAAGGGCATCTACATCCCGGCCTCGTCTAGATTCTGCCAGCTCGACAGGTGCGCTGCTCGTCTTCCGTTGGTAATTTTCTTTATATACCGGTCATCCACTCTCCCTTCCTCATCAATCTACATTTCCATTCCTACACCCTTCTTTGTCCACCCACTCATCTCCACCACCATGGCGACCGTGTTCGCCAGAGACAAGTCGGCGCTGGCGACCGTTGTGTCGCTCTCCGACTCGGATGCCTCTGACACCCAGCGTGCCGGCATTCCCGATCTCGGCCTTCCCGTCCAGCAGAAGCAGTTTTGGTGGCAGAAGCGCGGCGACTACGATCCGGATGCCATTGCCACGCAGCCGAGCGTCTTTGACGACAACGAGTCGGCGGAGAAGTACCACCCGCCGTCCAACTGGGAGAATGTCCACCGCTTCGATCCCCTGTTTCGCTGGACCTGGCGCGAGGAGAACACCCTGATCCGCAAGATCGACTTCCGCATCATGGTGTGGGCCTGCATCATGTTCATGTCTCTGGAGCTGGACCGCTCGAACCTGGTCCAGGCTCTGACCGACAACTTCTTAAAGGACCTGCAGATGACTACGAATGGTGAGTTTTGTTTGTTCCCGTCTGCTGAACAACCGACTTGTCCAACCGCCTTGTCCCAACTGACAGATATTTTCTCCTCCCCTCTTCTTAGATTACAATCTCGGAAACACCGTGTTCAAGCTGTCGTTCATGTGCGCCGAGCTCCCGTCTCAGCTCGTCTCCAAGTGGATGGGCCCGGATCGCTGGATCCCACTGCAGATGGTGCTGTGGTCGATTGTCGCCTTCAGCCAGTACTGGCTCAGTGGCCGCTCGTCCTTCTTGGCCTGCCGTGCCCTGCTTGGCATCCTCCAGGGCGGCTTCATCCCCGACATCATTCTGTACCTGTCCTACTTTTACAAGCACTTTGAGCTGTCCATCCGCCTGTCCTTCTTCTGGACGGCCATGAGCATTGCCGACATCTTGTCCGCCATCCTCGCCTTTGGCCTGCTGCACATGCGCGGTGTGGCGGGCCAGTCTGGCTGGCGCTGGCTCTTCTTGGTGGAGGGTCTCTTGACCTTTGTGATTGGCCTGCTGTCCTCCGTGCTCATGCCGCCCGGCCCTTGCCAGACGCCCAGCTGGTTCCGTGGCAAGAAGGGCTGGTTCAGCGAGCGGGAGGAGAAGATTATTGTCAACCGCGTCCTGCGCGAGGATCCCACCAAGAGCACCATGCACAACCGCCAGCCCATTACGCCGCGCACCTTGTGGAAGAGCCTACGCGACTACGACCTGTGGCCGCTCTACGTCATTGGTATCTTGTTCCAGATCCCCATGACGCCGCCCCAGCAGTACCTGACCCTGTCGCTCAAGGGCCTGGGCTTCGACACCTTCCAGAGCAACTTGCTCACCATCCCCTACACCGTGCTGCACATTATCACGATGATGATCCTCACCTACGTCGCCGAGATCTGGAACGAGCTCACCTTGACCGCCATGATCGGCCAGATCTGGGCTGTGCCGTTCCTCGTCTACTTTTACGTCGTCGACACCGCAACCGTCAGCAAGTGGGTCGTCTTCACGCTCACCACGCTGCTGCTGGCGTATCCCAACGCCCACCCCATCCAGGTCGGCTGGAACTCGCGCAACTCCAACGCGGTGCGCTCGCGGACCGTCTCGGCCGCCTGCTACAACATGGTCGTCCAGGCCGGCGGTGTCATTGCGTCCAACATCTACCGCGCCGACGATGCGCCCCGCTACCGCCGCGGGAACAGCCAGCTGCTGGCCATTGCCTGCGGCAACATCGGCGTCTATCTGCTGACCAAGGTTTATTATGTCTGGCGGAACAAGTCGCGCGATGCGCGCTGGAGCGCCATGACCGAAGAGGAGCGCCTTCACTACCTGGCCACCACCAAGGACGAGGGCAGCAAGCGTCTGGATTTCCGGTTTGCCCATTAAACACTGGCGTATGTGGCAGGGAAAGTTCGAAAAAACAAAGATAAGGAAAGAAAGAAAGTGGGATTCGAGTTAGCGAAATGAATAAAAGGGACAATACAAGAGAGACTAGAATAGAGGTGTCATGTGTAATGTGTTACATGAGCAACTGTTTCCCTTAATGATGACTATATTTCTGTTCACATTTCCAAGTCACCAAAGTTTTACCACGTTAAGCTTTGTTTTATTTTAATTCCTCTCTGGCCCCAGCACCAGAACTTTATGCTAAATGAGGTTTGCGCCGTAAGTAGATGGCCATAAAGAACAGCACTCTTTCCTATCATCGGCGCCTCACCTTTGTTGATTGTTGTTGCAGCCATTCAAACGCCCCTATCTCTTCATCGCTCACTAGCAAAGTCGGAGAGTGGCACGTGATCAGTCACGATGGCGTCTTTTTGACAACGATCCAAAGGCACTGTATTAATGCGAGGCAGTTCTTTCATTGATGGAGACAAAAGGTCGTATTGTGTAATAATGCTGGTCGAATTGTTTGCGAACAGTCGAGCCCTCCACACCGGAATCAGAACACAAAAACACTCAAACACCTATTTGGCCCTTTTCCTCCACCGAACACATTTTTCTACATCTCAAATTAAAATAAGGCACTGCGCAAGTACCTTTGAAAGCATCTTGGAACTCGATAGTTGGGAGATACTGCCCATAATTGACAAGTCATCATCCAGACAATAACAATATCTACTGATGGCGACTTAATCCCTACTCCGCGATGGTATTTGCAGCGTACTCCTACCGTCTGTCGGCATACAAAATGGTTCACTATTTACTGCTTTCACGACAAATGTATTCACCGCAATGGACAAGGTGCAATATAATAGAGTCTGACTGTTGATTCCGTTTGCTATTTAAGAAGGCACTGTCTACGGCGGACAGGTTCTTAGCATAACGAGAAATGGTGATGGGGATCCGAATGTAGGTGTGTACTATGCATCGCCGAAGACATTCCATCACTGCCATCAAGAGTGCATGCAATAGATACAATGGGGAAAAGCAGACGCAAGTAAAATGCAAATAGCAATGCTCAACAAATGAAAAAGGTCTTCAGCCATGATACGCAACATGTCATGTCCTCTGTGTCATACAACCATCCTGAGCCCTGTCCTATATGCAAGAGAAAGGTTTATGTGCAACGAAAGGGAGGGAAACGTAAGCGAAAAGTAGAAAAGGAGACGACACGGCGTCTACTTCTGCACGCGCTGGATGCTGCTGCGGATGCGGCGGTCAACGTGCTGCGCGGCCCGCGTCATGTGGTGGTTGGTGGCCTTGTCCATGCGCTGCATGGTGCGCTCGACGGGCGGCGAAACGTGCGTGCGGACGGCATGCTGCATCGGCGGGGAGATGTAGCGCTGGGCGACATGCTCCCACCGGGGTGCCCAATAGCCGGTGTGGCGGGCCATGGTCTCCTCAGCGCCGGGAGCGAGCATCATGTAGATGGGAGCGAAGGCACCGACGCCAGCGACGCCATACGACATGACCTCGGTGGCCTTGGCAGCAGGAATGCGGACGGGCATGGTGACGGGTGTGTTGTAGGGTGGAGATTTGATATTTGTGACGAAAAGGAAGAGTTCTGTTGATAGAACGAACCATGTTAATAATTTGATGTAAGTTTGATGGGCAAACGTTTGATGAAATGATGAAATGTCGAGAACAAGCAGGGATTGACAGTAAATTGGGGACTGGTGATGGATGATAAATCACTGAAATGAGATACACGTACCTGTTGAAAGAGACTCTTGTGATGGATGACGACTTGTGCTTGAGTGTTCGGGGTCGTATTTGATGGAAATGCGGCTCAGATAAGATGATTTGGTTGGATGTGTGCTGAAAACGGGAAGAAGAT